ATATTTCCAATCATCAAATAATACAGAAAATCACATGAAATGCAAAAAATCAGTTAATAATTTCAAGTATTAATATGAAAAATTTTATGCATTATCTACTGATTTAACTACCAATACTAAATATTTGTTTATATGATAAAATGTTTAAGATTCTATAATTTTAATAACATTTACTTAGGATCATTGAAACAAAATAAATTAACATTCATCAAAATCAACAAACAAAATAATGAGTAAAGATGAGTGAAAAGGCTGCAGAAAATAGAGTTTAACAGTTTATAATTTAACTAATTATTAATAGTTCTACTAGTAAAAAACTAATAGAAAATAGTCATAAATTCTGCAATTTTAGAAATTAAATTTAAATTGATAAAAAGTTATAACTGCCTGAATAATATATACAAAAACATTTGTAACAAATAGAATTCAACTACAGTAGAGCATCGATTACCTGAATCAATTGGGGACTGGGGTTGTTCAGAAAATCAATTTTTCAAATAACCGATTATGTACGAAAAAATATATTAACCTATCCCATGTTGAAATTCATTCAAATTCTGGCACATCCTTAAGTACCCTCTCATGGTCATGCCAGTGCTGCCAGATAAAACACACACACCAAATAAATTATATTGGAGTAGCCCAAAACATAGCCAAAGATTGCAGTGCCACAGTACTAGCAGAAATTTAAATTTGCCAAAAGGAAAGCTTTCAGTTAATTGATGTTTCAGTTAATCGATATTTGGATAATCAATGCTCTACTGCAGTGGTTCCCAACTTTTTTTCATTAGTATACCCCCGTGACATTTCCAACTTCCCAACACGCAACGCATGTGCAAATCTCGCACTGCCTGTTTGTAGCAAGTATCGCCATTTTGAATTTTATTTTGACTCAGTTCTCAGTCCCCTAAGTACCTACAAGTCTGGTTTTTTTATGCACGCATGATTTGGGCACCTAATACTTTGTGCCAAACTGCAACTTTTGACATGTACTCCTTCATACCTCTAAGCTGGTAACACAGCAGGCAGTATTATTTTATAAACAAGACACAGTCTTATCAATAAAAAATTAATAAAAATACTAAATAAATAATGAAAAAAATTACCACTTTTAGAGAAAATCTGGAGAAACTAGCTATGTCCTTTTCCTTGCTAACAATAAAAAAATACTTTTTATAAACAAAATAATACTTTTTCAAACAACACGTGGGGATATTGTTGAGAGATAATAATAATAATAATAATAATAATAACGGTAACATATCCCACCGTCAAAAGTCCGTAGCATAATCACTAATCACTAAGGATGCACCGATTAATCGGTAAGTAATCGGTAATCGGCCATATCGGAAATTTTCCCGATTAATCAGTATTGGCCATTTCCCCCGATTAATCAGTTTTAATAATCGGCCAATTTTGTATTTTAATATTTTTGTTAGAATGTCATGTAAAAGGCTAATAATAAAAAATATTAAATTTCTGTTATATATTTATTATTTATTACATGACAATCTAAATATTAAAAAAAATTTAACTTAAATTATTTCTTTTATTAATACATATCATAAGGTATAATGTAACCCATTCAAAACTATCTGTTTTATTTAAAGTTTAAACTTTAAATATATAAAACAAATAAAAATTTAATATCCAAACTTTAAAACCCTAAACCTGTAATAATAAAACATGAGAATTTCACCATTTTCAAAGCTCTTAAATGTTACCTCCAACTCTGAAAATTCTTTCACTTTTAATGGAAATGCTAAGGGACTTAGATATTTCATAGCTATTTTGCTTAAATTAGAAAAAAATTCTTTTGAACTCTCCACCAAAAAAATGGATCGCTATGTCTTTGTATAAAAGGTAAATGTAAATATTATTCTAATTCTTGATCGAAACGTTTGTTCGTTTGTTTTGTTTTTTTCTTCCTTTTTAAAAACATGCTTTTATTCATTCTTTCGTTCACCAGAAGTTAATTCATCAAATAAATTAGAAAAACTCAGAGATTATCCTCCATCTTGATCGTCTCCAGAAGCAGAAGCTTCAGAATTTAATTCTTGAGATTTTGAATTATCAACATTATCTAAGCTATCGATTGTCCATCTTTTTATTTTCTCTATCATTATTTTTTTTTTTTTTGAAATTTAATTTTGAATCTTGGATCTAATAAGGATGACAACCATAGAGACTTGTTTTCTATATATGCTGAAAATCTTTTTATATTGAATTTTCTAGTCTTTCTATAGTGGAATTAATGCCATTTTTAAAGGAACTACTCTTTACTTTTGATAATAAGAGAGACCACTGATATGTGCTCAACGTGGGAATTTTATTATCTATAGCGTATATGCACAAGGGCTTTTTGCTGTTCAAAGTTTCTTTGCAACATGCAGTAAGTAGAATTCTAGCGAGTAGGAACATCTTGAATTAATTTGTGTTTCTGCAAACCTAACTTGTCTCGCAAATCTTCCAATTTGCTTATAGCTACAGAAGAATGGTTAAAATGTGTGACAATATTTCTATTAACTGTGATTGTAGTTTTCAGATCTTGTTGAGAAAATATGCATTTGTTTAGTGTCAGCTGCAGTGTATGTGTAAAGCATGATAATACTTCTAACTTGCAATTCCTGATTCCAGCTACCATATTTGCTCTGGAATCTCTCAGTACTAAGAATATCTTATGACTTTTGTCAACTTGTATCGTTCAAGAACTATCTTTATCTGTTCGCTGATAAGTGTAGCTGTATGAGAACCTTCAAAGGAAGCGCATAGCTATAACACTCCTCTATGAGATATGAGATAGAGCGTAGAGATAGAACCTTCAAAGGAAACAATTCGCAAAACAGCTCTTGCTGAAAATTATCCTTCAATTAGTGAGGCTGTTACATTTTAAAAAGGAAAATTATTTGTAGTTGCTGTCTAAATATCAGCGGTTAAAGAAATACAGTATATTTTGAATCTCAATAGCTTTCTGAATTTTTGACTGAACTTTTTGAAATATATCACGGATGTTATTTTCAGATATATATTTTCTGCTGGGAATTTTGTAATTAGAAACGAATTTTTTTAGTAATCTTTGAAATCCTAAATCTGATACAACAAAGTATTCTGTATATCTAAGCTTATCATTTATCCAATCAAATAATAAACTTCTTTGTATCGTTGATATTCCACAATTTTTTCTTCTCTATTAATTGAGTTAAAGTAGCTTGACTTTGAATATGAGTTTCCGTTGTTGCTGGTGAACATTCAGCGTCTTTCGTTTCAGAACTTTCTCTTTTAATCTTTTAAGTTTATTTTAAAAAATTTTTATGATGACATTTTTCCAGATGATTTATCATGTTTTTGGTCGTGAAAGTTTTAGCATTTTTTCCATCTCTTGAAATAAAAGACTGGCATAAATTGCACTTAGAAAACGTCTCGTTTTTATCTTTCTTAAAAAATTTCCAAGCAATACTGGAAGCCATGAGGTGTTTGAATTTAGATATTAATTAAAATTTAAAAGTTTATCAAAATAATAATTTATCATTTTAATTTAATACATCTGAAAAAGAAAAAAATAGCTTCGTATTGAAAATTATTTTTATAACAAGTCGTTATAAAATTATTTTTATCATATGAAATTTTATATTTTTATTAAGAATATATAATTATTACATGCAATAATAATCATAATATAATTAACTATTTTTTTTAATACTCTTTCCGCCCTGTGGGTACTAAGAGGGCCTCTTACAGCAGGCCCATTATGGGTTCGGCCAGGCCCACAATGGGGTGGCCGGGTGGTGAGGGACAGGGCCCGACATATCCGAACGGACCACCCCATGAAAAATTACCGGGGATCCCGGGTCCCCCAGAGAGGTGGGCTGCCATCTTGACCGCTCGGCCATCCGGCCGCCCGTAATTAATTATTAACACAATAAATTATTAACACTAATCGGCCGATTAATCGGTATCGGCCGATAATGCGTGACCGATTAATCGGTAATCGGTAATCGGCCATTTTGCTTATTGGTGCATCCTTAGTTATTATTACAAGGTGCCAGTCGTCCGAAATTCTGATGGCAAACAATTTATTAAAATAAATTTTTTTCATTTTAGTTTGTTTGCTTAAGGGAGAGGTTTTCGATGAAAGTTCGCACCATGTCTCGCACTAAGATGCGTATAGGAATCACGGGAATCACGTAAACAAATAATTTGAGTTTATTGTCAATACTTGCTGATAACGGAAAACAGATTCCGATGCATGCTATATACGGTTTATTAATTAGTAATAATAGTTTTCAGAAGTTTCAATAATAAATTTGCAAAATCGATTATAGTTAATTAAACTGATACCTTAAATAACTTATGAATTTACAGTAGAGCGTCGTTTATCCGAAAGCTGGTTATCCGAAACGTCTGTTATCCGAAAGCATTCCAGTTGGCAAATTTAAATTTTCGCCAGTGCTGTGGCGCTGCAATCTTTGGCTATGTCTTGGGCTACTCAAATATTTGACGTTTTTGATACTAAATTAACTTCTGAAGTATAATTTTTTATTGTTTTTATATTTTTCAATATATTTATTTTGTTTGTACAAAATAAAGAAATAATTTTTAACGATACAATAGTCTTCATTACGCTTAACATCGACGAAAATTCAACGCGAAGCGACACGCAACGGAGAAAAATTTCAACATGGGATAAATTAATATATTTTTTCGTACATGATTCGTTATCCGAACCACCCCAGTCCCAATTGATTCGGATAAACGACGCTCTNACAATTATTATATAAAAAAAAATTTGTTAGGCTAAACATCAATGAAAATTCAACACAAAGTTGGTTAATAGCGATATACTAATAAACTAATTACATGGGATATACTAATATCCTAATATACTCTACTAATAATGTATCTTTTCCCTTCTTTTCGGTTATCCGATTTTTTCAGTTAGCCGACCAACCTGAGCCCCAATTGAGTCAGATAATCGATGCTCTATTGTAATATTTTATTACCTGAGCAAGAGCCTCTTTCATCAAAGTCCAATTAGGTATTCTCCAAGCACTTTCCAGAATCAGAGGTGGATTACTGCAGCCTTTTGTAGTACTATAATCTAGCAGCATATCCCACTGATTAAGCTCTTTTGAACATCTAATGAAAGCAGAAAGTAATTTTTGAAAAATGTTTAAATAAGTTTAATGTTTTATAAATTAATATTGTATGAAGTTTCTTGTAAATTAATTAGTTAAATACATTTTATGAAACACATTGTATTTAACATTAAATAGTTTTAAAAATTTAAATAAAATCATTGTTATAATTTTGTGTGAATATACCACAGAAAATTGCTAGTACAAAAATAAAACATCCAACATAAACCAGCTGTTAAAATAATACTTACCATTATGCAATTTAGAAAGTATCATCTCAAGCATCCTGTTTCACTTATTTCTTTCATTTCATTCCCATTATCAGTTCATTGCAAAAGTAATTATAAAATAAGTGAAAAGAAAAAAATGGAACATTTAGATACCTTTTTAAAGTATATAAAGATCCAAAAGATAAACGGTTACCAAATTAATATATAGCAAAGAAAATTGCTGAAAACTTATTAGCTTTCAAAATACAACAGAAAATGAATGAGAGAGAACCATATGTATGACATATAGATATATGCCTTTGATAATTTCCAAAAACAATCACAATGGCAACAGACAAAGGATTTTTTATTCTGTATAAAGATGATTTTGGCAAGTTTAAACAAAGAGAAAGCTCCTTGAGATTTCATAATAAATTAAATTAAAATTAGCAGCAGATTAACTTCATAATCATATAACCCACATCTAACTTACAAATTGTTTTAAATATAGATAATCTGCAGGTTAGCCACACAAAATTAAGGAAGTTATAAAATTACTTTCTGAAATAAAATAATTATCCTAAAACTTTAATTTCTATTCATAATACACTTCAAAATTTAAACAAATCTCAGATCATAAAATGTTTAAATCTATACTACTAGATAAAGAGACAACATATTTTTTGTTTGTGACCACTAACCGCAAAAACTACTGAACCAATCGTTACCAAATTTTAACTATAGCATCTTTATGATCCCCGGAATGTTTACCACTAATTAAACCTACAGATTTTTTATTAATTAAATAAAACTACATTGGATTTTTGTCTGTCTATTTATCTCTCTCTTCACTAGATGGTGATACATGAATTAGTGCTTTCTGTCTATTATTGAAATTTCTTATTATAAGAAAAGTCTATTATTGAAGTTTATTATTATATTTGAAAAACTGACATTAAATTATAATTAGTTAATTAGCAAAATCTTTGAGGAATTAAAAAAGTGACGTCATAATGCTAGATTTCAGTACATGTACTTATGGCGGATTTTCGAATCATTACGCATTAATTTCTGCAGGTAATCATACAAAATATTCAAAATAGTTATTGGATTTATCTCAAGTGAATATTTTTGAGAATGATTGATAAATAATGCCGAGAGCTGTGAGAGCACGAAAAGGAATAAAAGTTCTAGAGCTATTATTGTTCATAATTGTAAACAACATAAATTTACAGCAGAGTGGTCTCAAAGACTGGAAAAGCAATAAATTCATTTATCTCAGAATCGAATGCATATAGCGAGGAATTTTTTAGGTTTCAAATCAATATAATTTATTCAGAAGTTTTATGATTTTATTTTTTTATATTTTACAATACTCTACTGCAATACTACACATTGATCACCCAAAAATAATTAATGAACAATTAGTTCAAATTTTCCAAGTTCTATATGTATATAAGAGTGGGCGAGGCCGCAACAGGGGATGCTAGTCTATAATAAATCTAATAACATCAAAGCATGCTTATATAAATTTCATTTAAACTTGAATATAAATATTCATTTACTTTTTTTAAATAACTGAAAATATTTTTTAAAATCTAATAAAATTTAAAATGACTAAAGACTATTTTACTAAAAGCCATAATATAAATAAGAATACCTAATCCAGTGCTCCTCCCATAATCTATATTCACTATGTAAAGCTGGTGAAGCTGGTGCAGTATTATGATCTTGTCTAGCTTTACTCATTGCCAATTCAAATGCACCTTGAGCTTGTTCAAAGAAACCTTGCTGTTCATAAGCTATTGCAATGTTGGTTTCTGTATATTTTGCTCTTTTTTGCCATAATCCAGCCCACAGATCTTCTTCTTTTAACATTGAATACATATCTGCAAGAGCATCAAGTGTTTCATGTTGTGGTGAAGTAACTGGCTCAAATTCATAACAATCGGCTGCAGAAGCTCCTCTTGATTTTACTTGAGGTGCAACTCCTTTTTCAAAAGCCATATTTTCAAGCAATAAACTTGACCTATGCCATAGATTATGTGATTTTCCAATATACTAAAGTAATTTTAAAGAGTGATAATTATTATTTATGAATAATAAATAAAACAGATATTTATTTTTAAAATAATAATAAAACCTGACAAATAACTAATAGAATCAAATACTTTATCATCATTTTTTAAATTTTTATCACACAAGCTTGAAAAGTGTAAAAGTATTAATTAATGGATTTACCAATTTGACAATTATCAGTTAAACATTATATAAATTATATTTTTTGTGTAGAAAAACCAATCAGATATACAAATAACAACAGTAACAAATACACCTGTAAAATCCCAGAAACTCAAAACTGCTAAAAACATTTATTCCAAATAAATTTGAGTTGCTGAAACTTCAAAGGTGTATTTATTACCATTATTAATTATATGTTTTTTTCATCATTATTTTTGGACTAATATTTACATATAAAAAAGCCAAAATGGGAAAGATCTTCATTAAAATTAAATGCCAAATATAAAGATTAAAATTTTTAACTTGGCAATCCTAAATGAGTCATTGATACAGAAATATTTCTGTCAATATAACTTAATAAGCTAAGTACAAAATAAAAGTGATAAAAATACATAAAAATGACTGATTATATACATTAGAAAATAAATCATAATTTAAAGATGTATTGAAAGTAACAATTATTTCATGCAGAAACATAACAAAATTAAAATACAATAGAGCATCGATTATCCGAAAGTCAATCATCCAAAAGAATTCCAGTCGGCAAATTTAAATTTTCACCAGTGCTGTGGCACTGCAATCTTTGGCTATGTCTTAGGCTACTCAAATATTTTACGTTTTTGATACTAAATTAACTTCTGAAGTATAATTTTTTATTGTTTTTATATTTTTCAATATATTTATTTTGTTTGTACAAAATAAAAAAATAATTTTTAACGATACATTAGTCTCTGTTAGGCTTAACACCGACGAAAATTCAACGCGAAGCGACACACAATGGAGAAAAATGTCAAGATGGAATAAATTAATATATTTTTTCGTACATAATCGGTTATCCGAAACATCAATCTTCGGAACAACCCCAGTGCCCAATTGATTTGGATAATCGACGCTCTACTGTATATTACATTCTTTTCCATTAATATAACAATTTATTATACAATTACACATGAATATGTGAACATTTTATTGAACTATAAATATAAAACCATTTCACTCATAGTTAATGAATAAAATAGATTTATATTAGACATCACAAAATTTTTCATAAAAATTTTGAATATAAATGAAATAACTTACTTTATTTGTATAGAATTTCTAATTAATTAAATAAACTAACATAAAAGGGTTTATATTAATTTTTGGTATTCTTAATGCAATTTACATGAAATGTTAAATAATGACAGATTGTCAGAAGAAAGAAAATCTAAAATGCTTGTATAGTAATTTTACCCTCTTCGGATTGCTCAAACTGTTGTATGTTTTATTATATACAAGTATATTTACTTTGATAAAAATAAATTGTTGGAATGAACAAAGAATATCTTTAATGTGTTATTTAAATGTTAATTAATAAAACTTTTTATACAATCAGTTATTCTGAAAAATTAAATTTTGAATTTGTTGAAATTATGAGAAAAATAAAACTCTCTGTTGAAATACTGCATACATATACAGTAGAGCATCGATTATCTGACCCCCAATCAATCATCACATCGATTAATCAACTGTGTTCTAGTTAGCAAATTCAAATGTCCACTAGTGATGTGGTGCTACAATATTTGGCTATGTCTTGGCTACTTTAATATTATTTTTGTTAAATTTTTGCATGTTTTAGCTGGCAGCACTGGCTCGACCATAAAAGGGAGGCCAGTATTTAAACATGGATTAATTTTCTAATTATGAGTGGTTGTTTGTTTTGTATGGATTTTTCTGAGGACTGTGTGTCATGCTGAATTGGAATCCATTTTCATCGAAGATATAAATTTTGGACTTCTTTTTCTAATGTATAGGCCTACTTTATGTAAAATATGTAACCTGAATACTGTATGTATGTATGTATATATATATATTTTTTTTGTTTTATATTTTTCAATATACAGTACAGTACTGTATTTATTTTGTGCAAAATAAAGAAACAATTTTTAATGATACAATAGCAACAATTATTATTTTAAAAAAATGTTGTTAGGCTTAACATCGATGAAAATTCAACGTGAAGTAGGTTAATAGTGATATACTAATATACTAATTACATGGGATATACCCATATACTATACTAATAATGTATTTTTTCATACTTTTCGGTTATCCGTTTTTTCAGTAATCCAACCAACCTCAGTCCCCAATTGAGTCAGATAATCGATGCTCTACTGTATATACATATGCATGCATGATACTAACATAGAGTTTTATAGTTTGGATTCTGTATAACTCTCTTAGATAAGAATATATAAATATCTATATTATAAATAGCATAACAACATTGCATTTATTTTATATTAATTATCATCATCTACAGAATAAAAACTACAGATAAAACATAAATAATGCAATTATCTGAAATAGACTAAAACTGATTATATTCATATTATACCAAACACATCTTTATTATACAAATTTTTAGAAATTAAAGAAATCAGTTGAATTCCATAAAAACTGACTTTGAATATACATACAGTAGCCACTCATTATATCCTGCCACATCATATCACGGATTCAGATACATCATGCTATTTTTGCTGCCCCAAATTTTAAAAGCATTTGAATCAATAATTTTTAAAATATCAATTGCCATTGAATTAATTTTTGCAAGGAAATACAGTATTTTATTCCTAGCATTGTCCTTGAAACTACCACTGAAGATGAAACAATAAATTTGTGAAGATCTAAATAATCAAACAGGTGAACAGACCAATTATCATTTATTTTCCTTTTGATATTAAAAGTTGTTTATTGGTTTTACTTACTGTCTCTTCATTTACAAGTTTCTGTGAATTTGAAATTTCGCACCTCTATATGAATTGACTTATTGTGCCAATTCACATAAAGGTATGAAGTTTAGAATTCACTGCACATAAGGAAAAGATTTCTTTATTTCTGAATTAAAGTTCTAAAATTTTTTATACAGTAGTAATTTTATTTTGCTTCTTAGAAAATTTTTATTCTTTATAATTTTGTAAGTTTTAATGTTCTATTATATATTCAATATTTATTTTTTAAATTTTCAATTATAGTAGAACATCGATTATCCGGACCTCTAATATCCGGATTTTTGATTATCCAGATGTTCAAAATAAACAAAAATTTTACAAATTTGCTGATTTGCACTTGGCGAATTGCGATACTGTTTATGTACGTGATGGAATGCATAACTTTTTTTGTTTCAACAGCGTCTCACCCAGCACAGTGGTCGTAAACTCTTAAATATATTTTACGTCGTAATAAAAATATAACTTGACATACGTATTTATAAATAATTTATATTCAAATTACATCATTTCTTTGACCAAGGGCGGCATAAGGCATGGATGACGTGGGCCACTGCCTATGCCTCGTGGTCCGAAAGGCCTTGCACCTCGAAGGTTTATGCATTACTTAAAAGCCGCGAATGCGACAAAAAAATTTTATTCATCATAAAGCAATAAATAGTTTGTCAAATTTTTATTCATAAAATGCAGTTTCAACTGCTTTTTATTTTATAAAATCCGTCGTCTTGCGCTACCAGAGGGCCTTTTAAACAATAGGTAGTCTGTTAGCGTTGGTCAGTAGTAGTCCAAATTCAATACAAATGTTTGTTTCTTGAAAATTTGATTACAGTTTAAATACAGTATTTACTTTTAATATTACCGATATGTCATCGAAAAGAAAACATGTTGTATTATCATTAAAAGACAAATTAAAGTATTTGTTTCAATTATTCGAATTTTTCCCTTATCTGGACTACCTTCATCCCCAATTAGTCCGGATAATCGAGGTTCTACTGTACTGTATTTATAATTTTTATTGAAAAATATAAATTATAAATACAGTAATTTGTGTAATTTTTATTGAAAAATATTCTGTATTAATATAAAATATTCTGATGCTAATTACAATTCTATGATGACAAATATTTATGTCATACAGAATTTCCTATCTTATGGATTTACAATCAACTCAAATATTGAAAACTCAATTAAGCAACTGGAAATAAAGCTTCATAATCATATATTGAATTCTTATTTATCATATATAAAACAGAATAATATTTAAATCTTTTATGATCAAGAACAAATTTTGTTAAACGTTATTTTCTATATTTTTTCCTGTACATATATTTATCAAAAAGTACATAATAGTATTATTTTAATAATTGTATATATTTACCTTAAGAAGTGAAGGCTTGATTGGAACAGATGGTACACATTGAGAAAGGGCTTCCATAAAAGTTCCAATTGCACTTGGATGACAATCTTTTTGTACAACATGACTGCCACTACACAGAAAAGGTATCAATTCACTGGCCAAAACCTAATAAAAATATATTTCAATATCAAATAATATTTTTTATATTCATAAATTTTATCAGTGTATAAAGTTACTTCTTACATTCTGCTGTTTATCACTTAAAATTTTCCATAATTTAGGAAATACTTGAATCCAAAGATGCTGAGCAAGTGATGTATCAAAATGACAGAGCTGACTAGTTGCTGTCAAAAAACTAATTGTTTTTACTTCTTTTAATCCTTCTATAAATTTAGCTTGCCTAATTATTTGTTGTTGTAAATTCTGATGAGGATCTGTTTCTTTTCTTAAATGCCCAATTGATGTACTCTCAGAAAGAACACTTTTAGTATGACCATCTTCTGTTGATGATAATTCAATATCTATTTCTTCCTACAGAATTATTCATACACAAACAATTCATGTTTTAAATTCTTAAAATTATATTATTAAATTATGGTTAAATGATTTGTAAATTGAAAATAATCCAGTAATATTAATACAGTTCATTGTCTAGATCATTTTTGCTGACAAACATCCTTATTTAAAATCACTAATCTAAATTATAAATAAAAACATGCTATTTTCATAATTCCATATCTTATAAAAAAGTTATTAAATACATTTATCTCTCATACAACACGATATTTCTACAACACGGTTTGAAAATTGGGGATATCCCCTGTACAATAAACTTCCAGTTTCACTCTAACACAGTTTTGGAAATCCTCTACAAAATTTCACAATTTTTAAGTGTAAATTTCATTATTTGATACTTTGTTTTTATTCAAGCAAGCATGCATGTCATCTCAAATTTGCCCATGAATTTTAGATTATTGAAATTTTCAAATTATTTTGTGCTTTTTGTCAGGTTTACTTTAATAAAAACTGAGAGAACAATGAAGAAAAAATTGCACTAAACTTTCCTATCAACCAAGTGTGGTTGTTGTTGCTGCTTTCAGACTTTAGCCCTTAAGACTGTCATTGTGTTTTCTTTTTATATTTTATAGATGTATTTAGTAAAGTTTATTTAAACATTTTTTAGGAAATTGTTATTAAACATTTTTTAGGTAATTGTTATTAAACATTTTGTTATTAACCATAGGTATTACTTATCTATAAATGATTACTTCATTCATAAAAAGACAAATGAAATACAGTGGTACTTTGTATTCAAACACAAATTCTGGAAAAAAGTCACTCGGTGCTCAACTGAATATGACCCGCTAGAACAAATTTTCGAATAACAACATAATTTTATTTTGTCATCCATAAAAATAAAAAATATGAATATGTTGCCAATACTTCTGATCAAGATCAACAAAAAAGCTGAGATGATGGCAATACTTTGTAGAAAGAAAATACACTTGTTTAACTAAAATTAATATTAACACATAATACAGTACTTTTAATTGTGATTGTTAATTAACTGTTGATTGAAAATAAATTATTGATTGCTTTATTAAACATATTTCTCTTAGTAATGAAAAAGAATAGTATACTTTTGCTAACTTTTAGAACCTAACCCTATGTTTTGTATAGCATGGATTCTCATAACATGGCACTTTTTCAGAATGTAACTACCAGGTTATATGAGGAATACCTGTAGTTCAAATTGAAATATTAACAATTAACCAATCACACAAGATAAATATATTTAATTTTCAAAAAAATAATAGAATATTTTTTTAACTATTACAGTGTCTAGTTTTAAAAATCAAAACTTAAAAATTAAAAATAAAATGTATTAAGTAAAGCTTGTAAAAGATGATAATTTAATGTTTTAAGTTTTTCTGTTTTATTTTTTTTATTTTATATGCTTGAACTTCATTGATATAAATATTTTAAGATGTTTTGCATGTTTTGCGATACTAGAGTAGTAATCTATAGAATAACAGAAATTTCTTTTTAATTTTTGCATTTGGAAAGTTTTGAAGTTATTTTCTAAATTTCATTTATCTCAGTATTTAGTTTTGACAATTTATCTAATATTTCGGCCTGTATCAAGCTTGTATATTATTTTAAAATATTTATTTATTTTTCCACAACAATAAATTAATGAAACTCACAAAGTTTTTAATTGTGACATTAAAATTCTATCATATTTGTGATTCATAATGACCTAAAAAATCCTAAAACTTTTAATTAATTTTAATAAAAACAACCAGTTATAAAATATATTTTTAAAAATGTTAAATAGAAGCAGATAATGATAAAATTAAATATTTTCACTTTCTTTCCAACTTAAATCTTATATTCTTAATATAACAAGTTCTTAAAATTTATATTCATTTTTTTGCATTCAAATTTAATTAAATATGTAAACTATTTTATGATATTAGAAGTGTTTCACAGATTAAAATCTTAACTAAGAAAGAATTTATTACAAAAATTTAAATAAATAAATACTGAAAAATACTTTAATATGCTAAATTTCGACTAGATGTTGTCTTATAAAATTTTATTTACATTAAAATAGTTAAACTAAAATATTTTATCTTTTATGCTTAAAAACTATGTAAAATAAGAAATACAACAATTATTTATATTCTATTAATGAATTCTGCAATATTACTTAATTCTGGTATTAAAAATAGAATCATAAATACTCACATCATCTTTGTTTTCAACACAATCAACATCAGCTGGTTCTTCTTTTACAGATGTTACCATAGCAAAGTTAGCTCTTTCTTGAGAATCAGCTAAGTTAATAACAGATGTAACAGAAGGAAGCAAAGAAGTAGTTGTTGAACTTTGAATAGTTGTTGTAGTTACTGCAGTTACAAGTAGTAATTCTAAACATTGTTTAATCCAGAAATGAGGGCCCATTGTGTCCCAATTCTGTGAACAAACAATGTATAACAATCTATCATGTAACCGTTTTCTCATACTTGCATCAAATACTTCAAAAAATTTTGCTCTAATATCAGACTGTACACAGCGCAATCCTGCCATAAAAGCAGGTTCCAATTTTGAAGTTAATTCAGTTCCTTTTAAGGTTTCATCTCTAAAAAAATAAAAAAGTTTTATATAACGATAACTGACACTACATGCGAGTAAACAATCACATAAAGTCGTATCGACAGATCAAGTTGACAACTAAAGACACACACAAGACATTTTCCAATAACTTTTTTAAGTTAGTTTCTTAGTTTAAGATAGTTTTTTTCAGCCTTTGGAAGATGCTGACAATATTGATGCAAGTCAGTAAAAAGGAGAGAGATGATGAAAACTTCTATCTTCTCATAACATGAAATGCTTTTATAGAAATGACAGAATCAATGTAGTACGTTGTAAAACATCAAAATCACGTAAAGGACACAAGTTTTAAAGTATAAAAATTAATTTACAGGCGCCAAAATGATGTTGACTTCATTGAAGTTCGTCTTCTCCGCCATTACAATAATTAGGAGGAACCTGCCAATGTGCACTGACTGTTAATACGTATCCTCGTAAGATCACGTTAATTAGTAACTTGCTACAGTTGCAGGAGGATGCAGGATATTTAACTAGTAAGATCGATCAGTCTTACTATTCACATACAATTAGCAGGTATCTAATGTGATCAGAACGGTATAACCGAAATAATTAGGAGCTCGTTAATGCGATTTGACTATTAACATCCGTTCATTAAGGCCAATCGCTATTAAGTTAGGGCCAATAATATTAATAAGGGCTCAATATATACGGTGGCCCAAAAGTCAGTTACCGTAACATTGCTTCTTTTTGCAAATTGATTTATGTNGAAGACAGACGTCGTGGTAGCATCATGGCAGTATGTGATAAATGATGATATCAAATGTGAATAACAATGAAATGACCTACATGTGTAAATAACGGAAGACGAACAGAGAAGGACTGCAAAGTGAAAATGTGAAAATAAATATGAAATTGAGTTGATAACATAATGAAACAAACTAGGCAGCTTATTGGCGTGAATGCCAATGCCAAATGATTGTTGTCATAGACTTCGGAAAGCTAAATGCTTGTAATGAAAGTCACTTAAAATGCACGGGTGAAAGCCTGTGGCCGTTCGAGCTACCAAGCTGTCTCGAATATGTGAAATCATAACTGTGACTTATACCGACATTGTATCTGTCTCTTTTCTCCATTATCACCAGGCTATGAGTCACGTAATTATAAAATAGAAAAACTATGACGGAAGAGTGACGAATCGAAAGTATCGTCAGTGCATATTATGATGTATGCATAGGCATATGTGGACTAGAGAGATGGAAGAAAGAGAAAGGAAAGAGCAAAGACGAGCAATTAAAAAGGATAGGCAGGGTCAGACCCTCAGATGCGTGCGACGATTCTCGAACGAATAAGGTGTGTACGTGTGCTGATCTTTGTACTTATAAATTGTGAATACATGTGACTAATATTATTTTTTTTAATTTTGTGCATGTTATAAGTTATAAATAAATACATACAAACAACACTAACCCAACAACATTAAATCTAAATACCAAAATGATTAATTTACTGTGTTTTTGTTATTTATTACTCCTGTTTTTAGGTATTCTGTATTCGGCTGAATAGTGATTAAATATTCGGTATTCGGCTGAATAGCGAAAAATAGGCCGAATACCAAATAGATAACATTCTTTCGCACCCATCTTGTACAAAATTTGGAGTATCTGTGGTGATGTGTGACATTAACTATGCAATATTTGAAATTGGATTTAACAAAGTACCAAATAACAAAACAACAACAGTAATATCCAGCAAATAATACACTTTACTAAATAAAAACAAACAAGCAAAAATATCATCAAGTTGAAAAGAAGTTAAACATATATGAAAATTCAAACATCACTTTAAACAAAATGGAATAATTAGTTCATTGGTGGAAAATGTGGACATCAACAATAATGTCAAATAAATATTATAAAACAAGCAAAAATATCATCAAGTTGAAAAGAAGTTAAACATATATAAAAATTTAAACATCACTTTAAACAAAATGGAATAATTATTTCATTGGTAGAAAGTGTGGATGTCAACAATGACAATGATATAACCAGATACTTATTAGGGATAAGACTTAAATTTATATGTATACTTCAAAGACAAACTAATTAAGAAGTACCTAATTGATTATAGGTGTACCTAAAGATGGACCTAATTGAACTGGATTCTCAATTAGGAACTGGACAAATCTGAAACATCTGGAGAAACTAGAAATGTACAAAGCTACTTTTTGAAACACTGCAATAAATTACAGAGATGCCAAGGCAGTCTGTAAAGCATGGAGATCCATCTTTGAAGTACATCTATAATTTTAAGTATCTTTAATAAATATCTGATTACATCATTGTTGACATCCACACTTTCCACCAATTAAATAATTATTTCATTCTGTTTAAAGTGATGTTCAATTTTTTTATATATGTTTGACTGCTACTATAATTTAACTTGATGACGATTTAAAAATCATCAAACATTTGTTTTTGTTATTATTTAATAAATTGCTGGATATTACTGGTATTATTTTGTTGTTTATACTTAATTAAATCCAGTTTTTCAGGTATTGAAAAATTATCATTAAATTACTATATTTTCATGCATAAAACCAGTAGAAAATTTCTAAAACAAAACTAAAACCTTTCAATAACCCACTCAATGTCTATGGGAAAATGCACCTATGGAGTAATCATTGCTCCATAGGTGCATTCATAAATGCAATTTAAAATTGATGGATAACCTGTTCCATCATATAACCCAAATACCTTTCAACAAATAACCTGAGGGTTACATGCATCAAAGTAGAGCAATATAATATTTAGGTACAGTTTGATTATATGCTAAACTAACTGTTACCCATGACTTTGCCTATGTGGATTTTGCAAGCAAACCCCATTTATATTCAGTATTTCAACAACCATAGTAATTGTTATATAACACCTACTGCTGAGAATCAAACAAACTATTTTCAATTTGATCAATTTTCTGGAACGTTTACAATCATTCTATAATCAAACCAATATGCAATTACAAATTCAAATTTAAAACAGTTCGAACATTTGGTTTTAAAAAACTGAAATATATAAAAATATTTATAACAATGTCTGAAATGTTATCAATTTAATACACCTAAGTACTCAATGAAAACTAAACGTAGTTGAAAACAAAAAATTGCATCTAAAATAGTACAGTAGAAGCCCTTCTTCAGGTTAAACTTTAATCCTTTCCCTCTCCCCCCGCAGGGGAATTTCAAAAAATCCCTTCTTAGTGTGTGTTTTCATAACATATCCTAACTGTGTACAAAATTTCACCTCTTTACGTTCAGCGGTTTGCTCTGGGCGATGATGAATCACTCAGTCAGTCAAGTAATTTTATATATTTAGATGAATTACTGTTAATTAATTAATTAATTTTAACATTAGTTAACAAATTTTAACAATAAATCTGACATTAAAATATTATAATGTCATATTTTAACATGTCATTTTAATGTCAGGGTCAATCAAACTAGAATTTATATTAATAATAGTCTTACTTACTTACCCTTCTTAATGAAGAAAAGACTCAAAAATATATATTTTTATAAATGGTCTTAACTTCAATATAAAAATTAATTTATTTTCTAATTATTAAATGTATCTTGAGATAGCAACCTGACCCATATTTGTAGTCAAATTGCTTTATATCTAATTATTAAATTAGCCTTAATACAATCAAATAAGTAATCTGGCACACTGTTTGGAAACACTTAAAAATAAACCTAACTTTAAAATGTGAACACTTGCTTTATCCACCTGAAGTTGAATAATTTCTGAACCCAAAATTTATGTAAAATATAGTTAATATGTTTTAATACATATTAACTACATTTTACACAAATAAAAATATGTTGATACTGTTGTAAATTCATGCAATAATTTATAAAACTAAAAAGATTACATGAATTTGTATTAGAATATCTTGAAAATTTCTTATAATCAAAACATCTTTCCATGTAGATTCTGTAAAATTAAATATATATTTTAATGAAATTAATTTGAAACTTACCTATATACATAATTAACTAATTCTAAAAATTGTGCATTAAGCTCCAAATCATCAGGAAAGCGTTTTTCAATAAATTGCATCATTTTCACTAATAAGATTGATTTTTCTCTCAGTGTTGGAGATTGATTAACTGCTATTGGGCTTTTGCTTTTAACCCAATCTTCTACCATTTTAGTTATTGCTTTCAATACTTTGACATCTGGTGATTTTTCAATTAGACCAACCAAAATTGTTCCAATAAATGCTTTTCTCATTTCTTGTCCCATAACTCCAACACGATTTTTCACAAGATCAAGACTAAGAATAAGTAAATCTGTACCCACTGAAAAGCAAAAAGATGAATGAATTAATAATAAATTTTATAATTATTATTTATTTAATACTAGTTAAAATATTACTTCAGTTAAAAAGGAACAGGATTACTACACATTTTTATTTTCAAAGATTAAATTATTACAAAAAATGCTGAATAATATCTAGATGACAAAAGTAGATTTTAATCAATCTACACTCTTATCTATATTTATTTGGAATGATTAAAATTTTTACATTTCAAATAAGGTAACTCTGTCCATTTATCAAATTTATTTTAAAATATTCCTTTCTATTAATATTAAAATAAGTAATTATAATTTATCATATATATATAAAAGGAAAATTTCACACACAAAAATAATGCTTTCTTTTTAGGCTAAATATCTGTACATTTGTCACATTTTATCTAAATGTAATGAAATTACAAGAATTATATTGGAATCGTCTACTTTTTCAACTGTAAAAGAGCAATTTTTCAAAACAACATTTTGTATCATTTTGTGCTGGCTAAATGTACTGGTTTCTTTAGTGATTGGTGTTTTATGCACAATTTATCCAGTTAGTTAACATGTAGAGTTAAGGGAGAATTATAACATGACATTCTATTAGCATTTGAACTATTAAGATAAGATACGAAGATGATTGACAGTTTTGATGATAGTTTTTGAATGATATTTGAATGGTATCAAAAATATAGAATAAAATTTCATGGTTTCTTAATTTCCTAAAATCCTTTCCTTTTCTTCTTATTTTATCTACCATTTTTTATAATCTAATTTATAATTATTTATAGGAATTTATCAAAAATTAATTTAAAACACCTTGTTTAATTTTGCAGAAAAATTTATATACAAGGTTATTTTAAGTGAGCTAAATTATACATGATGGAATCCAAAAGTTTCCAGCCTAACTATATTTTAAACAAGATAGGAATAAAATAATAATATCACAGACCAGCATCTGTATGTGGAGTAATAAAACAGTTTTTCTCACCTATTTGCATAAGTTGCTTGGAAACATTCATTTCAGTTAGACTTGTTCATTAATTTGTGTCATGTTCATCTCTTGCAGGATAATGTGCCAGTGCACACGGCTGCCATTGCCAAGGCTGTTGAAACAGTTCAAGAGCATTTTGCAGACAACACTGCAAACTAGTTTTTCAAGGGTGTTTTCAATGCTAATTCCAAGATGTAATAAGTGTGTTGAACTGCAAGGAGGCTATATTGAAAAATGACATCATTGTTTTATACCTATAACATCTAAAACAAAGTTAGATTGGAAACTTTTGGCACCCATCATGTATAATTTAGCTCACTTAAAATTTCAACAAGCTGAAATTTAAAGAACAATGACTTTTTTAACAGGAGAAAACATCATTATTTTCTTACATAAATATGATAATACTGATTCTAAAATTTCTCTTTACAAATGTGTGTTGATTATCTCACCCAATTTTTACTCTACCTTCAGTTATTACAAAAAAGCATCTTTATATAGAAATCACAGTAATTAAAATTATTTTATTGTCAAAAGGATTCTATTAAACAGAATTAAATAACAGGTAGAAAATGTAGATTCTGTAAAATTAAATACTGTATATGTTTTATTAACTGTTTTATTAATCCATATACATTATGAATTTTTCTTTTCTCAAATTAAATATACGCAGTACTCAACTCTACGAGAGTCTAAATGAGGATAACTCTTTGATACCATTAAAGTGCTTTTTGTACACTAAATTTGCAGTTTTCATATATTTTCAACTAACAAATTAAAATTCCTAAATATCATACAGTGGTTCTTTCTGTCAGTTTTTGTTTCAGTAACAGCAAAATCATTTGTGTAAATTAATTTTTATTATCTGTTTTCTGTTTAATATAAGATTTTAATGTTTTAAAAAACACATTACGTAATATAACATAGTAACTATAAAAAAAAATTTTATAATATTTTTTAACTTTCTGGAAACGAAAATCCATTTATAACATGCAACTCTAAGTTATTTAAGTGTACTATTTTCTATTTTTTGATTAAATATATATATACTTAATCAAAAGAAAGTTTAAAATTTATTGTTACTAACTTGGACTCGTTTCAGGAGGAGAAGGATTTAGATGTTCTCTAGTCATCTTTTGCAGAACTTTCATAAAGGATGTAATCAATCGATCTATGTAACATGGGTTATTAATACAAGCTGCCTTCAAAATCATTAATGTGCCAAATAGACTAGAAGTAGTTGCTCCTCTGCTGAAAGATTACAACTTAAAAATCAAATAAATACAAACAAAAATTTTAACAATAAATTCTTACCTTTCATAATTGCTGAGCCCTTCATATACAACTTTACTTACAGAAGCATACAAACATTCTAATTCTTCATATTTTGAAGCTACATTGGAAGTTGTTGGTTCAGTAGGAAAAATACTCATTAGTCTTGATAGAAGACTGTGTACAGATTTGATTACCTATAAAAAGAAAAATCAAAAATATTTAAAGCAAAAGCAAATATAAATCTGTATCAGACAATAGCAGATATAAGTAGATGTAGATAACAGTAGATTTATAACGGTACCAATTCTAGTATAAATAAAATCATAAAATATTCATATTCTTATTCTTTAACATAATATATTTTTAATACGTATGTATAAATACTAAACATCTAATCTATTCAATTATAGTTTTACCAATAAATAAATAATTTACAAAAATACCATGTGCTAGTTATTTCATAATGCAAGTCTGGGAAATTACTGTAATGAAAATAGTAAAGGATGGATAGTAATAATGTTTATTGTAAAAGAACATTTTATACTCCAAGATTCTTTCAAGCAGTAGCAGTTGCTCACATTTTTCTAGCAGAGGTAGTACTGGCAACAAGTGTGAAAAAATGTCAAGTTTTGTCAGTACAGAAAAGGCAGCGTGTATGTCAAAATTTTATGAGACAAATAAGTCAGGCACTCAAGTGCAGTGATATTTTTATATAATTGGTATATGGGTTATACATATGGTATTCCTGCCCTAACCAGAAAAATGACATAAATCATTCAGTGAAATCTATTTTCTATCATGTATAAAGCCGGATGCACACATGCGGCGCAGCAAGGAAAAGCGGTGACACAAACGCATCTTCGCCGCACGGCAGCACAACCACACAAGCGGCAATCCGCTTACATTTCGGCGCATGCGTTCAGTATTCAAGATGGCGAACGATATCCACGTGTTTACACACTGTCCCTATCCACGTGTTTACAAATTTTGTTTTGTATGACTCGCTTTATTTAGCTAAAAGATTTTGTCGAAGATTTGAATTAGAGATACTTTTTTGCATCGAGAAAGAACTGGTGTACAAAATAGACTTATTCGTGGATCAAGATCTCTCGATAAAGAATACTATTTCGAGTAAGATTCGGTTGTTTTGTTCTTTGAATTAAATTATATATGATTATTTGTGTAGAATTTGTTTTAAATTTGTTATCCTTTCCTCTTTATTCTGATTTTAATTATCTCGGTTAACCGCCTCGAACTTTCCGCCATTAAAACACCACGTGATTGTATTTTCTCACGTGACTACGAGACAAACTGTTATTGGCTGATAGAAACGCGTCTTGGCGGCGTTGCCGCAAAAGATAGAATTCAACCAACTTTTGCGGCACGAGAAAAGCGGCACAAAATCGACTTCTGCGGCGAGAAAAAGTGACGTCAGTCTGCCGCTTTTCCTTGCCGCGCCGCATGTGTGCATCCGGCTTAAATCATTTTCCATGTGTAAAGAAAAGCACTGAAAGAAATACCAGTGGTGAAACCATGGAACAGTTCATCCACAGTTTGTGCATAGTCCAAAAAGAATCAGACTAGTAAATATAGAATTAGGAAATGATCAGAGAGTTATTGGGAATTAGGTGATGAGGAGACAGCTTGAACAAAAGTATGACAGGAAGTCAGATTTCATTGGAATGTGTGTTAAACTATTGGAGACCACAATGAAAACTTTTATTGATAAAATTTGAAATGTTACTACATACTTCAAGACAAATCTCAAATCTATATCATTGATAGTGTAATCCCAATAAAGTGTCAAAACTGTTTGTTGTATTATGAAGCACCTTATATTTAAATAACTAATAGATATTAATAATGTATTGACAAATTATTGAAATTAAAGGTATGACATCCAAATTTTTAAATTTACATTTAAAAAAATACAAATTATTAAATAATTTAATGTTTAGTTCTTTTAAAATATAAATACAAATAANTCATAAAACGATAAATAGTTTGTCAAATTTTTATTTATAAAAATGCAGTTTCAACTGCTTTTTATTTTATAAAATCCATTTTCTTGTGCCACCAGAGGGCCTTTTAAACAATAGGTAGTCTGTTAGCGTTGGTCAGTAGTAGTCCAAATTCAATACGAACGTTTGTTTCTTGAAAATTTGATTACAGTTTAAATACAGTATTTACTTTTAATATTACTGATATGTCATCGAAAAGAAAACATGTTGTATTATCATTAAAAGACAAATTAAATCGATTATCCAGATTTTTCCTTATCCGGACTACCTTCATCCCCAATTAGTCCGGATAATCGAGGTTCTATTATTTATATTAGCATCATCAGTTCAATTCAATGATGTATCTAATGTGTTGCTGATGACAAAGTATCATGAATTATGTTTAAATACTTATCATAGTACTTTATATTGCACTTACCACAGTACTTAAGAGTTTATCAAACCATGCTAATTTTAATTCTGCATTAGGCCAAACATCAGGTTTCAATGCTGTCTTCAAAAGACCAACACATTTTCTAGACAGAAGTTCACCTGAGGATCCAGCTGCAGTTGCTGTATCATTCACTTGACATGCCATACGTAATAGAAAATTAACAACTGCATCAGCATGAGCTTTATCCACTGGTCGATTACTGTCTGGAACTGGTTTTACATTGGTGCCTGAAGGATTTCGTACTCTCTTTAATTCTTGCGGATCATTTGTCGGTATTGTTCTTCTTACATTCATAATAGATGAAGTTGAAGGACCAGCTTCAACATAAACCTAAATTATGTATATTCATTTAAATAAAAGAACACATAGTATATATGTATAAATATTAAAGACACATCATTTGTTTATATCCAAAAACCAAGAGAAAAACTTACATAAAAACAACATATTTGGAGATAAAGAATGAATGAATTAAAAAAAAAATTTTTTGTATTTTCATTATAAAATATTTCAAGAACTCTGCAGAAATACATAATTTATTCTGTTCAAACTAATTTTTATAGTACATAAAGTTTTACTCTCCTATTCACACTCAGATTCTTTAACTTTAAAAAGTTTTCAACCCATTCCATGGTAAACAAACGTTTTCAACCCAAACAAACCCATTCCATGCTAAACAAACATTTTCAACCCATTCCATGGGTTCAAAATGTTTGTTTAGCAAAATAAATGAGCTTTCTCAGTATTAAGGCGTGTTTATAAAACTCTGCTATTTTTTTCATCACAGTTATAACTATTATTATTAAATAATTTAATGTTTAGTTCTTTTAAAACAAAAATACAAATAAGCAAATAAACAAAAGAATCACAATTATTGTGGTTTAATGCATTTTTTATGGAGTGCTAATTTGCATATTTACTGGGAAGGTATATAAACAAAATCAAAAACTAAATTTCTGTTGCATACACTGTCATAAATTTTTGTCAGATTATAAAAAACAATCTATAGAATGAAAATAAACCATACCAAATAAGAATTGAGTGCAGATTTTTCAAATAGTACAATTATAAAAAAAAGACTAAATCAAATTGTTTTCTCCATTTTTTTATATTAAATTCAAATTATCTATAATCAAATCTATTATCAATAAATCCTTACTTATTATATATCAAATTAAACTGAAATGAGCAATTATTGTCACAATTCTGGGCTGCAATTTTTTATCATACTTTTAATTTATTTAATTTAATTTATCATATTTATTTAATATATGCTCTCAATTTTAGCAGTACTTTTCCCTGTATATCACACTTTCACACTTTTCCTGATAACAGTAGAGTCATGCCGGTCATCTAGCTAACTTCGTTCTGAAGAAAATATTTAAATTGAAATAACATGACTTCTGGTTCACACCAGAAGTGTGCACATAGTTAATCAGGGATTCCCTGTCTCTAAGCTTTCCATATCTGGTCTTGACTTTCATCTACCTATCTCCATTCTCGAGATTAAGGAAGGACAGACGAACAAATGAACACCAGTGAAAATTTAAGCTGGATGCACACATACAGCGAGGCAAGGAAAAGCGGTGTTGCAAACTCATCTTCGCCACGCAGCAGCACAGCCACACAAGCGGCAATCCATTTACATTTCAGCGCATGCGTTCAGTACTCAAGATGGTGAACTATACCGATATTGTCGCTATCCACGTGTTTACAAATTTTGTTTTGTACGGCTCGCTTTATTTAGAAGATTTTGTCGAAGATTCGAACAAAGATTTTGGATTAGAGATATTTTCTTGGATTGATAAAGAAGTGGTGTACAAAATACGCTTATTCCTCGATAAAGAATACTATTTCGAGTAAGATTCAGTTGTTCTGTTGTTTGAATTAAATTATATATTATTTGTGTAGAATTTGTGTTAAATTTATTATCCTTTCCTCTTTATTCTGATGTTAGTTATCTCGGTTAACCACGTCAAACTTTCCACCATTAAAATACTATGTGATTGTATTTTCTCACGTGACTACCAGACGAACTGTTATTGGCTGATAGAAACGTGTCTTGGCGGCAGTTGCTGCAAAAGATAAAATTCAACCAACTTTTGCAGCATGAGAAAAGCGGCACAAAATCGACTTCTGCAGCGAGAAAAAGTGATGTCATTCTGCCGCTTTTCCTTGATGCACCGCATGTGTGCATCTGGCTTTATAGGTCTGCAATTTGTAAATTGCAGCTCAAAAAATAATCCTTAACACAAACTAATAATAAAAACCAAAAAGTTATTTGTTTTCAAATGTGCACAATTTTAAAAAAGGTCAGTCCATAGATTCATAGTGCAAAGAAAAGTCAGCCCCAAAAGTGTTAAACAAAATCATGCAGCAAGATATTATGTACATTTTTATTTTGATCATAAGCATTTCTACATTAATACTATATAAACTATGTAGTATTAACACATTTAATTTAATTAATATAATTGCATATTTTATGAAAATTTATCAATATTTATAATTTTCAACCATAGGTTAAAATCTGAAAAGATAAATAACTTGCAGCCATTGGTTTTCTTAAATGCACTTGCCAATTATTTAGAGAAATCTTTGTTTGGAGAAAGAGAGAGATTATTCTCAAAAATAATTCAAAAAGGATTAAAAGTCTGATAACAAACTAATATGGTCTTAACAGGATAAATGCTAAATTACTCAGTGAAACTATTACAGTAGAACCTCCATTATCCGGATTGTTCAAAATAAACAAAAATTTTACAAATTTGCTGATTTGCACTTGGCGAATTACGACACTGTTTATGTACGTGATGGAATGCATAACTTTTTTTGTTTCAACAACGTCTCACCCAGCACAGTGGTCGTAAACTCTTAAATATATTTTACGTAGTAATAAAAATATAACTTGACATACGTATTTATAAATAATTTATATTCAAATTACATCATTTCTATGACCAAGGGCGGCGTAAGGCATGGACGACGTGGGCCACCGCCTATGCCTCGCGGTCCGAAGGGCCTCGCGCCTCGAAGGTTTATGCATTACTTAAAAGCCGCGAACGCGACGAAAAAATTTTACTCGTCATAAAACGATAAATAGTTTGTCAAATTTTTATTCATAAAAATGCAGTTTCAACTGCTTTTTATTTTATAAAATCCATTTTCTTGTGCCACCAGAGGGCCTTTTAAACAATAGGTAGTCTGTTAGCGTTGGTCAGTAGTAGTCCAAATTCAATACGAACGTTTGTTTCTTGAAAATTTGATTACAGTTTAAATACAGTATTTACTTTTAATATTACTGATATGTCATCGAAAAGAAAACATGTTGTATTATCATTAAAAGACAAATTAAATCGATTATCCAGATTTTTCCTTATCCGGACTACCTTCATCCCCAATTAGTCCGGATAATCGAGGTTCTATTATTTATATTAGCATCATCAGTTCAATTCAATGATGTATCTAATGTGTTGCTGATGACAAAGTATCATGAATTATGTTTAAATACTTATCATAGTACTTTATATTGCACTTACCACAGTACTTAAGAGTTTATCAAACCATGCTAATTTTAATTCTGCATTAGGCCAAACATCAGGTTTCAATGCTGTCTTCAAAAGACCAACACATTTTCTAGACAGAAGTTCACCTGAGGATCCAGCTGCAGTTGCTGTATCATTCACTTGACATGCCATACGTAATAGAAAATTAACAACTGCATCAGCATGAGCTTTATCCACTGGTCGATTACTGTCTGGAACTGGTTTTACATTGGTGCCTGAAGGATTTCGTACTCTCTTTAATTCTTGCGGATCATTTGTCGGTATTGTTCTTCTTACATTCATAATAGATGAAGTTGAAGGACCAGCTTCAACATAAACCTAAATTATGTATATTCATTTAAATAAAAGAACACATAGTATATATGTATAAATATTAAAGACACATCATTTGTTTATATCCAAAAACCAAGAGAAAAACTTACATAAAAACAACATATTTGGAGATAAAGAATGAATGAATTAAAAAAAAAATTTTTTGTATTTTCATTATAAAATATTTCAAGAACTCTGCAGAAATACATAATTTATTCTGTTCAAACTAATTTTTATAGTACATAAAGTTTTACTCTCCTATTCACACTCAGATTCTTTAACTTTAAAAAGTTTTCAACCCATTCCATGGTAAACAAACGTTTTCAACCCAAACAAACCCATTCCATGCTAAACAAACATTTTCAACCCATTCCATGGGTTCAAAATGTTTGTTTAGCAAAATAAATGAGCTTTCTCAGTATTAAGGCGTGTTTATAAAACATAAAGTTTTAGTTTCTTCTTATTACCAAACATTTTTTTAAAAAAGAAAAAACTGAAAATTTATTTTTTATATTTACAAATTTAATCTTTTGTAAAATTTCTTGTAAATCCATTTAAAAAATTTTTGTCTTCTCATTATAACATGATTTATTTATTAATACTGTCTAATTCATTAATATCTTTAAAACATAGAATGAATTATTTAAAATGTACCGGTATACACAACAAAAAAATTAATTTAAAGAAGTTTAAATTTACTTATCACTACTTAAATTTTCTTTAAATTAGTTAAGGAAATATAAAAGACTTCAAGCTGATTTAATCAAAGACTAAAGTCCGTGCCATATCATGTATACTTTAAATGTAAGTAGAAATTAAGTTTGATTGCCTTCCATTCAATAACCAAATTATAAATATGATTGAAAATAGTAATCAGATTATCATTCTTAAATCAAAAATTATTATTAAAAGATTTAATTGCATATTCAAATGGAAATGAGAGACAAAATGGAAAAGCATTATAAATAAATTATAATCAAAACTGATCTTTTCATCAGAAATTTGGATGAAAAATATCCATTTTTAGACATCTTTAGAAAAACTTAAGAATTTCAAAAACATGCAAATGAATTAAAATAAAAATCTGAAAGTTACAGATAAAACATTAAAAATATCAAAATCTATTCAAGATATAATTATCTTTATCATTTACAATTAATCCAAATTATTGTTCAAATATTTTATATTTTTTAAATAAAGGATTGGAGGAAATTTTGTATTATCAATACACTTGAAAAGATTGCATTTCAGCTTTAATACAAAGCTAAAAATGTAGAAAATTTAAATTTTGTTTTCAGAAGTTATACATGACTAAGCATAAAAACTTCTCTTTAGTCATTTATAGCTTCTAAAAATGAAACTTAAATTTTCTAAATACATAAAAATTATGATCTTTATGTTTTTAGGAAAATTAAGTTTGTGCTTAATCCTTTTCTTTGAACTTCTGAAGAAAAGTTCATTCACTCATATGAGTTGATACAATGTTCTGTAATGCTAACAAAGTATAATTTTTTATAATTTTGAAAAAGATAAATTTTCATTGAAAATATGATAAGGATAATGATGATAAACATAATGTATTACTAACAGATCTCAAACATAATTTTAATACAATGTGGTATGTGTTATTCTAGACAACAGGTTAATAAAATATATAAAATTTTAAAACATATTACAGTAGAGCATCAATTATCCGAATCAAGTGGGGACTGGGGTTGTTTGGAAGATCGATGTTTTGGATAATCGATTATGTACTAAAAAATATATTAATTTATCCCATCTTGACATTTTTCTCTCCGTTGCGTGTCGCTTCGCGTTGAATTTTCATAGATGTTAAGCCTAACAGAGACTATTGTATCGTTAAAAATTATTTTTTTATTTTGTACGAACAAAATAAATATATTGAAAAATATAAAAACAATAAAAAATTATACTTCANTTATTACCAAGAAATTTAAAACTTTCCTGCAATTATGTATAATGTATTTTAATTAGTTAATTAGTGAGGTAGAGTGTCATTGCTTAAGAATTTTTATAAAATTTCTTTCATCAAATTTGAACTTTTGTAGCTTTTTAGTCGACAAAAATTTTTAACTATCTGTTCTGCTTTCTGCCAGTTTTGGTTTCAGTAACAGCAAAATCATTTGTGAAAGATTATTTGCGTTTTATTTAATTTGTAGTTTGGATGTTTAAAATGTTTTATATATTGTAACATATTGTTAAAAATTAATACAAGAATATGAAAAAAAATTGCATATTAAAGCATTATTTTTTTAAACATAGTGTATTACTTTATCATTATATTTAGTTTAATGTTAAACAAATTTTTGTACACTGACAGAAAAAATGGATATCCAATTAAGTAACAAGCTTTCATTTTGGTAAAAACATGAAAAATCTGCTTCTGAAGACATTTGTAGTTTCACCAAAATGAAAGCTTTACTGAAGAATCATTAATTCAAATTATTAGAAGAGGTAAAAAAGTGCCGTAATAATTGCAGTCTTGGAAGTAAAAAAGAATGGGCTGTATGACTATTTTATTGAGAGAGATAAATATTAGCAAAAGTGTGTAGATGATGCTTACTTTGAAGAAGGTCTTCTGTAGATACTTATACTATTAACATAATGAAAATTACATTAAAAGTTTATTTTTGACTCTACTATGTTTCATTTCAAAAGATTTAAGGAAAAAAGTAAAATTAACTTAATATTTATAAAATTTTTAAATTTATTTAAAAGGATTGATTATGTATAAATTCTTTATAAAAACATTATCAAAATATTTTAAATTAAGTAATTCTATAAAACTTAAAATTAAACAGTTTTCGTACAAAAGCAGAATAGCCCAAAAAATGAAAAATCTAAATTTAGAAATAATACATTAATAAGCATAAAACCATAAACTTTCTTTGGTTAATTTATAAGAATTTATATTATTTTTTGGAAATCTCATATAATAATATTAAAATTACAATCCAATTAAAAAGGAACTCATTTTACCCAATAGATAAAATATAAATCTCTTCCTTCTAAAAAATTTGTTTTAAGCTTTTGCTCTTTTAAAATGTTTTCAATAAACAAATTTTAAAAAACGTGTTTTCTAAGACATATTATTGTTATTTAAGTAAAAAAAAATGGGCTGTATGACTATTTTATTAAGAGAGATAAACATTAGCAAAAGTGTGTAGATTATGCTTATTTTTGAAGACAAACATGATTTATTCAAAAAACAAGCAAATCAATACTATTAATAATAAATATAATTAGCTAATAACAAACAAGAAAAAATAGAGTATAAAAAGTTATTCATACAAGATGTCAAAATTGTAAAAATAAAAGGGTACACTTAAACATTTGATGTATCTTGAGAACAAATAAATTAAATTGTTTTAGTACCTTGTGTGAGGAAAACAAATACTTTTTTGTATATTTTTTCTGTACTAGCACACTTTTTCCAAAGACAGACTTAATAAACTAGAATAAACACAGAATGACACGGAACTGTTCTGTGTGATAAGTCCAGCATTGGGAAAAGTGCACTAAAACAAAACATACAAAATAAGACAGTAAAACAAAAAGCAATCAGAATAAAAAAAACTCTTGAAGATTAATAATATCAATTAAAGTGTAATTGATAATATTAAATCAAATAAATAAATAAATAATTTGCAATTTTAAAAAATTTAGATTACATAAGTAAAAAAATTTATAAAACTGAATAAAAAAATCAACTAATTTTTACTTAAATAAAATAATATGAATAAAAAAAAAACAAAGAATCAATTTTATGTAAATTTATTATAAAATATTAATATTATAAAAAAATGAAACAAAGCAAAATTCTATAGCACAAAAATCTGATAAATTTTGAAATATATTAGTTAAGAAGACCAATTTTTGTCTTCCATTATGAATCTACTTTTTTTTAACTTATTTAGATCTTTTGATCTACAAGTATACAGAATTTACAATAAAATTATCATTAAATTCTATTTAATTTAAAAGATTCATATAAAAATTATATTCAATTTAAACATGATTATAATAAAGATAATGAATAAGCCAAACAATTACTGGATTATATATAGCTATTATTAATACAAATTATGTAGTATTTAATTATACTACATAATTTGTCCTAGAGGTAGGCATTATCCACCATCTCTTATTAAATTTATTTTTAATCTCACAATTTGGNAATTATTTTATAATAAATTTTTTTAAATAAATTAAAATTTATATTTCTCATTCAATAGAATAAAATTTATATGATTGATAGATTCCTTTATTTTGTCTATGTCATGTACTGTATATATTCTACAGTCTTTTTGCTTAAGCTTTTCCAACACACCTGATCATGATCTCAGAAGAGCAAGCATCATTTTTAGATGCAAATGTAAGTCATTTGTTGACAGGCTTCAACAAAACCATACAACTCTGTTGTTCACAGAAGAAAATTTTAGACAAGCCAAGTCAGCCAGTTGCAAACTGGTGAAGAACTTACTGTGTGTACATTCAACATTATTGGTATGAATACATTGATTGATTTCAAATTTTGCATACTGGCAATTCTATGTAGATAAAGTGCTAACTTACACCTATGTATGTTGTTGCACTAACATACTTATTTGAGAGTATAAAAATCATTCTGTAGTTTTTAGAGGATTATTCATAAGTTCATAATTTACACATGATTTCTGTAGAAACTATGGAAAATCTATAGTGACCAGCATCACTGTTCTAATAACAGATTTAAATAAATTTTATATATAAATATATTTTAGACAATTTTGTTTTATATAATTTTAAAATTAGAATTATAAACAGTAATACCTTGTAATGGCGTACTAATAATTGAAGCATGTGTACTAATTGTGCGAGGGTATGGCCTTCTTCAACAATTATTTTTTTAGTCCAGTGAGTGAGCATTGTGTTACCATCTTCCATCCGTGCTGGCATTGCAGGAGTAAGAATTTCCAAAGCTTGTTTTACAACTGTTCTTGCTTCTACAGCATGAGCTTTCAAAAGACTATGAAAAACCTAAAAAATTTCATCAAATTAAAAATAAATTATTGATTAAAATATCAAAAATGAATGAAAAATATAACTAACCTGTAGTACGATTCTCTTATGAATAGCAAATTTGGCAATGATATGAGCTAAGAGAAGATGGCCATGATATTTAGTTGCAGGATCAACACAGTTTTTAGCCAATAAACAAGGCCAAGCAAATGTCATTAGTCTGCGAAGTTTCATACCCTGTCTCCTAAAGTATAATAATTTTCTAAAATAGCTTTTCATTACAAGAGAATTATTTTAAAAAATACATTTTCTTATTGATTTAAATTACCTTAAAAAGTTGAAATTTTTGTTATGTACATTATACATTTTATATAATCATCATTGTTAATTTACTCATTCATATATTTATGTATTAGTAACATTTTAATGGTTGCTTCAGAAATTTCTTTTATTTATATTAACTTAAGTACCAATTCTTTTATATAAATTATCNTTGGAGTTTATCTGAAGGCATGAAGTTTTTTTGAGACTGGAGTTTATTACTTGCAACAGAAGATATGTGGATAAAAATTGAAGGAAATACCTTAATTACTGGTACATTTTCTGAAATATCAAAACCTTTTATTCACTGTATTTGTGGGTTAAAGCTACAGCATTTGAAATAATTACTGTTTTCATAGTTAACCCAATTCAGTGTCTTCCAATTTGGTTATTACATTATCATTCATTTTTCCTTTGATGTCATTGTAGAAATCAAGATTATGACTATTATCTTCTGATTCAAATTCACAATCTCCTTAAATTCAAATTTTCCCAATTGCCTTTTTGTCAATAACATCTAAACTTAAGACTCAACTGTGACTTTCCCACACTCATATATGCATATATGATATACTAAAATTTATAACTTAAAAGTAAATTATTAATACATAAATAAAATAAACTGCTTGCTTTCAAAAAAGCATAATGGAATTTGTCAATGTGATAATACAGCTCAACCCCATCATAACACAGTATTAGGAGTACAAAAAATCACAATGTGATATAAATGGATGTTAGAAAATTCTAGCCATTTTCTACATTCAACTTGTATAACTGTTATTCATTTTGAATGCCTTTTGTTTTTGCATGAAGTAATTACAATACTATAGAAATACAATATATAAATCATGTTTCAATCTTTTATTAATACATTTTGTACAATAAAAGATAATGCACATTTATATGAATCTGACATATCACTACACTCTCACATACCATAGAATACATAGTATATATTCAATAACAAAATAATTTCAAATAAAAGCACATGCATTTTAATGAGTGTTTTGTTTTTTTATGGAAATAAAATGAGAATGGGTATTCTGTATTCATAATAAGATGAAAATATCAACACACATTCAAAACAACCATTTTTTAAAATTTAGTAACTAAAATGTATTTTTAGTTACTAAAAATGCATTTTAGTTACTAAAAATGCATTTCAGCTAACAAAAATTGGGAGTCATGCTTGCATCCCATTATAAGCAGATTCACTTTGTAACAAACTGCATTATAATGGGTTGAGCTGCAATAATATTTATTATTATTTTTAATTCAAACTTTATATAGCCCATTCTATAAATAATTTAATTATCATCATTTATTTTATTATTTAATAAGAATATATAAACTTCCCCCATAACTAAATATTTAAAATTTTCATATATAAAAATATTTTTATATAATGTTGTGCATATACATACTTGTTTGCTGCATCATGAATGTGTGGTGATGCCTGTTCTACTAGCAAGCAGGAAAACTGAAGTAATAGAATCCTGACTGCATCTGATGTTCCAAATGGTTTTTCTGGATCAATTACTTTGTTAATAAACATACTAATAACATTATCTGGAAGATCCTGATCAGGAGTTGGTGGCCCACCAATCAGTCTCTCACCTTCACCACGTTCAAAAGCAACAGCAAAAGATGGTATAATAATGTACTGTAAAATTTTTGCTTTTAGTTCTTGAGGGAAAGAATTATCATGAAATAATTCAACAAATTTAAAAAATGCCATTCTCTTCCATTCAACAGTGTAATTATTTGCAACTGTATTCTCTAAAAAGTCTCTCAAAAACTCAAAATCTGGTATAAATCTACCAGTGAAAGCCCTTAAAAGCTGAAAAAGCAACTCAATTTCATTTGGATGATGTTTCACATAATTCAGAAGACATTTAGCTAACAATTTTGGTTCTTTCCATTGTACAAAATCAACAGAATCAGCTTTTTGGTGCCTTAATTGGAACTCATCTGATATCCATACTTTTCTAAGACATTCAATCAAATGCGGTTGAGTTGATAACCATTGATCATCATGCTGCACTAATAAACTTACAGTTCTAATTGCTTGATACTGTAATTCATTTCTGGAAGCTGATTGACATAAAGTACTTCCAGACTGACTGGGAGATAACTGGCCTACCATTCCTGGAACAGGAGGTGAAGGTGATAACTGTGCTTGTGACTGGACCACTCCCAGTGCCATATTGATGAGATGGGCAGGATTCTGCTGAAGAATTTCACGAAATGGTCTTCCTGATTCTCCTTTCAGAAGATACTGCAAATATATTAAGAATTAAAAAATAACTTTGATATTTTGTCAATAACATCTAAACTTAAGACTCAACTGTGACTTTCCCACACTCAATAGTCAACAATATTTATAATTTTATCTCAGAAAATGTCCATAAATTTTGGAATAGAAAGTCTGACTCTAAACAATTTGAAGACGTAGAATTTTACTTNTAATTAATAAAAAGAACCCTAATTTTCAGATTAAATTGACAAATTTTTTCAAATTTTACTAAAAAATTTATTACTGAGATTTAACACAGGCTGACCATTAGTTTTCCAGTATATTAGTTTTTCAGTATGGTTGCAAAACCATACTGAAAACTAAACGGTGCCAATGTCTAAAGCAGGGCTTCTTCAAGTATGGGTCGCGACCCCATTTGGGTTCGCTTAGCGGAATCTTGGGGTCATGAGATTTTAATGCAAAATATTTAAAATAATTTGCGAGATTTTAAAAATGGCACGCTTTGCGTCATAGGTTTCGTGAGTTGCACTTTGTGTCACTTCTGGTGCAGCGAGACAATTGTCTCTGTTCCATTGTAACACAAGAGTGAACAGTGCTAGTACACCATTATCATTTTTGCAAATTTGTATATATCTTTATTTTATACTTTTGGGTCGCAAAAAAAATCACAATCATAAATGGGGTCGTGAATAAAAAAGTTTAAGAAGCCCTGGTCTAAAGCACTAAAGATAGCTAAAAACTTAAATTATGCATACATAAAATACAGAGTGATGTTTACATTTGATAACACTGACACCTGCATCCTTTTTAGAAGCCATAGCTAGGATTCAATTTAATTAAAATGATCTAAAAATAGCCCAGAAAGGAGGAACTACAACTGCAGTTAAATAATCTAAGTGAATAAATTCTACATATGATGCTATCTACAGACATCCAGTAAACAAAATCTGATGGGTATGAAAATTTTAAGTGCCCTCATGATTCTGCACACTTAAAAGAGGTGCCAGAAAATCAATAGTAAACCTGTATTTCAAATATTTATCAAATAACAAGCAAAAAAATTTATATTAATGAGTCTTTTCTATATTAAAGCATTTCTTGATTTTAAAACAGTAGTCTAAAAATCCAAAAAAAAAAAAAACTATTCAATACTACTTAATTACTTTTCAACATTTTGCATTTTGTAGAGATTAACCAAATATGTTTATATTTCTTTCAAATTTAAATAATGTAAATAATTTACATTAAAAATTAAAAACTACTTAGCTTTATTTATTTATTTCCTAAGGAATAACTAAATAAAGCTAACTAGTAAAAATAAATAAAAAATAAGAAGAAATTCATAAATTTTATCTATCATTTTTTAAATCACATTGAAAAAATCATATAAAAATAAATGACAGCAATTTAAAATTGAATTTAAATATATAAAGCTTACCTCCAAAAATCTGCTTACAGACTCATCTTGAATATATGTCTCATTAAGTAAAAGTTCTAATGTATGACTTGGATAATGTTGTAAAAATTTTGTAAGTGGTTCACGAAAAGGACTGCTGGCTTCCAATAATAATGCTTTTTCAGTTTTTAAAATAAGAGTAACTAATGGCTCAATGAACTGTTCTGTGGCAACTGGCATCTATTAAAAAGCAAAATAATATTCTTAGACCTCATTCATATTCTTATATAAATTTTATCTACTTCAAATTTATACTTTAATTTTGCATAATGAAGTTATAAATTTGATTTGGAGAGCTAACTACAATATAATAATATAAAAGATTAAAGTGAGTGTGTGTTGTGTATGTATGTATGTATGTATGTATGTATGTATTTATGTATATACAGTAAACTCCCGATTATCCGGGCTAATGGTGGGGAGAGGTGGCACAGATAATTGAAAAACACGGCTAATACGAACTACAGGTATAATTACAGTCGACCCCCCTGTAACACGGGTTCCTATAGTTCAGATTCCTATATGACAGCAAAAAAATTGCGACGGTATCCATACAAACCTGGTAAAAAAACTTCCATAATTCGGTAAAACATCATTGAGCAGCCGAACTACTTTCCACTGTCCAGCACCATGCTACGAAGAGTTTAGGCAGGTAAATTGAGTTTACTATCGTCTGTACAGTATGTAAATTAGATACCGTAAGTCTAATACAGCACTAATTTTATACATTTCTTGTGAAAAAAACATTTCTTATTTAACGGCCATAAAAATTATTTATATTAATGATGTCTCCAAAGTTCAACGAAGTTTTCGCATAAAAATAACTTATCAGAAATCGTGCATGCGCCGTTTGGTGCGCTGCTCCGTGACGAAAACAAGCTTAAGCAATGGCGACATCGAATGGTGACCACTTGGTAAGTAATCCTACAATTTTCTGTTTATAGCATAGTTTATACGGATTATTCCCAAAAAAATATACATATTTTGGAAATGTTGAGTCGAATTAGTCTAGAATTGATTAATTTTATGGAAGAAAACCTTTCAAACAGCCGTAGTCCGTAAACTTCACACGTGTCGGGTTGCGATCGGCATGGTCTCCTAAAACATCAATTTCATAAAAAACAGAACGTATCTACCGTCTTATAGGGGGGGGGTCGACTGTATTTATTTCTAAAATATAACTTAGAGTATTATACATTTCTAAGAAAGACAATTATTTGAACATGTTTAATGCTTATTATTATTAAGAAAATCTGTGATTTTGGTTTGTTTGCAGGAATCTTTATCAGTTTGAATTTTTCCGATGGCTACTGTATTATGTCGTTATACTTGAATTCCCATTGGTCGATTTACAACTCAGAAAGAAATATTTGAAGTAGAGTAATAAAACAATTAACATTTATTGATTTTTGCAGTAGGGGGTAATGCAGGGTCTGTTGACAAATTTTCTCGCAGTAGTGCGAAATTTCTACTGACTTCACTTGAAAGTGTCATATTTCTTCCCCATTTACAAACAATCCCCATGGCAATCAGTGAAACAGGAGATAAATTACAGCAAGTTGAAATTTGATATGTTTATTTTTTGCATTTTTCATATCAAATTACATTAAATTCGATGCAAATAAAGCATTTCTGTAAATATAAAAATATTTTACACTGTTTAAAAATAGAGAAAATAAAGAAAACAAAGATGTACAGTAATAATAATTTTTGAAATAAAGACAATAATTTTACAATTTTATGGAAAAAAATGGAGTCTGTGAAACGCCACGTGACCAAAGTGTGGTAGGAAAATCACGTGATCTAGAAAGGATTAAAAAATACATACACATATAATTATTTTTTTAAAATTAAATTCATGCACAAAGAATTGGGAGTTTACCATATATACACAACACACAAACACACACACACACACACATATATATATAAAATGAAAATTTAAATAGAATATAACTTAATGCATTTGATGCTATTTGTCTCCAAGTGATATGCAGTTTTTTCCAACAAGCCAATGACTTTTACTGATATCATGACCAGTCATGATAATACTAAAAATTATGAATTAGTCCTGTGTACAAAAAAATTTTTATATTTTCAAACATCTGTTACACATTTCCAAGCAGAATGGTATGGTCTTGGTTTTGTATTTAAAGGATATCTTACTTTTATCTGAATATTTTAATCTATATATCATAATAAATAGACTCCCCATTAATTATAATTTTTCTTCACTATTTTCTTTTTTACTGGAGATCTTAAAAATGTTTATTTTAATATCCAAGTAGTATCAAATCTTTTGGATCATCATCATGGATTAAAAAATTACAGCTGTAAAAGGAATGAATATGATTGAATTTGAAAATCAATAATGTTCTAATTGTCTCCATAGATGGCACTCTCAAACAGATGATCCAATACCACAACTTTGCTAGACAAATATTATGCAGAAAATGTTTACAAAATAAAATCAAATAATGCAATTTAATTTACTTTTTTTTACTGATAGTTCTAATAATGCAAAAACTGCACATTTAACAACAGTTGAAAAAATTTTTTCCAACTAAGTATAAAACAGAAATTTATTTTAGTATTGTAGACAATCCACTCAATACTTCTTGTAATTCATATTTGTCATTTTTATTGTTGAAAAATTAAGAGATTAAAAATATTACATGTAAAATTATTAATATCTAGCACTATAAGGACTGACTAGTGTTTATCTGATAGTTTCACTATCAGATAAAACATTACTTTTCATTTATATAATATTTATTTCTTATATATAACATATTTTTTCTAATTTCATTTCTCAAAATTTTATTTATTTAATACATCATACTGGCTTATAATTATTAATTTTTTATTTTTTTGCCAGAATTGATATTACTAAACTGAATATCTATTTATTTTTTACAGTTTATTTTGGAAAAACTTAATAAACATTTTTATATTTCCTTCTAATTTAGCTAAATAATTTTTTTGTATAGAGTTGTAATAACTTGTACAAGATCCACAAATAAGATAATTTAGAGAATGATAACTAGATATATATGCAATATAATAGACAAAAACTTATAGAATAATAAAAGAAAAACCAAAAGCTTATATAAAAATATAAAGAAAGGAAAATAATTCTAAACAATTTAACAAAATGAAAATAGTATTAAAAAAGATCCATTAAACGTACTAATCACAATTCCTTTAAAATTCATTTTTATTTTATTTCTAAATATTTATTAAGCTGTTTCCCCCCTCTCTCTTTTGTGCACTTTTTGTTTTATTAGAACATTAAAATTTCATAATTTTCAAAAATTCTGGTTTAATTTGTTGTTTGTGGAGAATTTAGATAACATTCTTATATTCATATATTTAACCCATGATCAAATGCACATTTTTTAAAACAAATATATGCATAAGATGATAATATGCAGATTTTTTTACCTGTAATTATGCTGCATGTAATTGCCATTTCTTGAATTTGACAATTCTGAAAAATCATGTAATATGTCTTCTCAGTACTACCAAATTTCATTGTCATATGTTGTTTAGTTTACAAAATACTGTTTTATTTAGAGAATAATGTACTTTCAAGTGTTTCCATAGGAAGCACTTGAATTTTTGGACTCATAGATCCTTGAAATATCAAGAAATGCAAAAAAAATTTGAGGATTTTTTACATATGTATGGATGTTAGTGTGTGTGTAGAGGAGCACATAATTTTTTCACCCACTTTAAAGCTTAATAACTCCTGTACGTTTTGTTGAAAATTTCTGAAATATTAAATTTTGGTTGTTAAAAGTCAAGGAGATGGGGAGATAAAATGTGTCATATCTTGAGTTGAATCAGACTTAAAGAAAACTCATTAGCATTTACAATTGTTTTAATAAAAACTCATCTCTACCTTTAAAATTAAGCTTTTTGCCATTTTACAATAATTACTAATATAATAAGTTTTTAAATAAAATCTCTCCACATAGAATTCTAACTTTTTGCCAGAAAAGTTACACAATTTGTTGCTGAATTTTCTTTGCACTTTTATTTTCAGTAACTTATTTTTAGAAATGCATTCATTTTAATACTGCAGAAGCTTTTTATTTGTGCACTTCACATATTTACAGTTAAATACTATAAATTAAGCCGAAGAAAAGTTCATTTTTAAAATGTATGTATCCATTGGAGTTTATCTGAAGGCATGAAGTTTTTTTGAGACTGGAGTTTATTACTTGCAACAGAAGATATGTGGATAAAAATTGAAGGAAATACCTTAATTACTGGTACATTTTCTGAAATATCAAAACCTTTTATTCACTGTATTTGTGGGTTAAAGCTACAGCATTTGAAATAATTACTGTTTTCATAGTTAACCCAATTCAGTGTCTTCCAATTTGGTTATTACATTATCATTCATTTTTCCTTTGATGTCATTGTAGAAATCAAGATTATGACTATTATCTTCTGATTCAAATTCACAATCTCCTTAAATTCAAATTTTCCCAATTGCCTTTTTGTCAATAACATCTAAACTTAAGACTCAACTGTGACTTTCCCACACTCAATAGTCAACAATATTTATAATTTTATCTCAGAAAATGTCCATAAATTTTGGAATAGAAAGTCTGACTCTAAACAATTTGAAGACGTAGAATTTTACTTTACTCCTTACCTGTCACTCTAATCTATACAGTATGGTAACAGGCAGGTAGAATTTTAAACTCCTACCTTATACAATGCAGTACTTCAACATGTTTCCTGTGATTTATTTGAGACCTGGTTTTATTTTTAACAGCACCTTTATTCTTCAGGGCTTAAAGGGAATATTTATAATTACGTTTCATATTTGTAAAAAGTTAAAATTTGTCTATTCATGAAAAGATTAACAACAGTAGCAAAAACATGTACAAAGAGATAATTAAAAAACTTTTTGTCATTGTTAAACTCATTCTATTGCAATTTGTTTTGCTGACTATGTATAGATTGTGCTATTGGATATCATCTCATAGTTCTTTGAATTATTTTAGCTGTGCATTTGCCCATATAACAGATATTATGTTTTATGTTAGTATGCATTGTAAATGTCAGCATGCTTTGAGAGGATTTTTGTTTTTTTTTATTTTAGATTTATAAATTAACAATGTCATCTAAACAAAAAGACTTTAGTGGCAAATACCAAAGAGGCCATTACTTCCTTTAATCTCTCTGATATTTTTCCACTAAAGTATTTGTGTTTAGATGACATTGTTGATTTATAAAGATAAGTACATTTAATCAACAAAACAAATTTAAACATTCTAATTTCAAATTATTTTAAAATTGATTACCTGATGAAATATATTAACAATACAAATACACATCTTCATTTCAGAACTATTCAATCTTTGAGAACCACGAGAAACAATTATTTCCAACCAGTGTTTCAGATGATTTAATAGATGTTCACAGAATTTTTTATTAAATATATTAGGAAACAACTGAGTTAAATAACTGTAATGCTGAACTATACCAAGATTTAAATTTCTCACATCTCCCAGCTGTCCTAATAATCCTCTGATCATGTTGTGAATCTAGAGATGAAATAAAATAAATCAAGAAATGATTATATTTTATGTATAAAAAAATTTAATAAAACTTACCTTTTCCATGTCAAATTGGGCACCACCTAAAAATTTTTTCATACATTCAAAGCTCGCTACCTGCAATTCTACATTTGAAGTATTCAGGGCTTTATATAAAATATTAAGAATTTTATCTTTGCACTGAGGAATATAATGACATGCTGCAAGTGCTCTTAATGCAGATTTTCTTAATGGCACTAAATTAGTAATTGCTTTATAACAAGGTAATCTCAATAATAAATTATCTTCTGTTTCACAAAGTGCTATCAGTTCTGTAAAAAATACTTTATGTTCCACTATGTTCAAATCTGAAATAAATTTATTAGTTTCATATTTAATCTTGACATAGTTTAATAAAAAATGGTTTAAAAGACATTATAAAAATATATTACACTTATGTTATTTCAAAATTAATTCTCAATAAATTAAAATTAGTTGTTGAATTTCCATAGACTCATCTGAATTTTAAAGTGTTAAAATAAATTTATTTAAATATTCTAAAATAAATTGATATTCTTAAAATAGTTTTATTTTGACTTCATTTTAAAATTGAAATTTGTATTTGTTAGTTATAATAAAATATCTGAGTATTTGTAATTATATAGCTACTTGAGCAAAGTTGTAAGTATTTTCTATTATGTCTATTTTTTCTTCAAAACAGTGAGATTTTATTTTTTAAACTTTTCTATCATCCAGACTGTTTTATCATCTTTCCATATTCTTTCTTATGCTCAATTTGATAAATATTAACATATATAATTTCTTTAAGCTCTCTAAACAAATGACACTTTCACTTTAATTCTTAAAATAATCTAAACATATTTATTTATCAGTTCAAATATTTTTCTCAAATAAATAACAATTATTAATAACTGAAGGAGTCAAAGTTTAAAAATCTTTTAACTATTTTAAAAAGTCATCTGAAGATGAGATTAAAGTCTATGTGAATATAGAGAAACTCATAAACATCATTAATAATTACAATGTCCCATTGTTGTAATACTTCAATAAAGAAAATATTCAAAAAACCATTTTAAAAATCATCATGATAATTTTTTGTTTGTTATTTTCTTCAATAAAAATATTTTATATTTATTTTGGTAAATAAAATATATTCAGGTTACTTTGTTGTTATTTTTTTGCTATTAGTTTATTTTAAAAATTTACTAAATTATTTTAAACATAGTTTGGGAAGGTTTCTTTTCATATTCTTCCAAGCTGTTTTTGTCTTGATATTTTTAAATAATTTCATTTTTTTAACATAAAATGTGCATATATTAGTATGTGTATACAAAAAATTTACCATTCATTGTTTTATAATGTATGTTTCTTCTTTAAATTCAATAATATATTGAAATACATTTCATTACTCACCAATTGTAAACAGTCTTGGTTCAAGTGTGGTACAAAAAGTGTTTCCATCCATGAGTCCAATTTGGGCATTTGCAGGCTGATGACGTAAAAGATGTTTTTTAGGAGGAATCATATCTGCTAAAACATCTTTATGTGGATCCATTATTTCTGTAACACTCTTATTAGATACTTTTGCTAAAACTTTCAAAGAATGCATAGCCTACATAAAAAAAATCTTTTAAATAAGAACAGTATTATCAAAATTAAATAATTTTATTACATCATTATCTTTCAAAATTTTAAATATCTTAGTGATACAAGTTTTTTTTCAAATAAAATAATTATATAAAGTTTGAATCATTTTTATAGCTATTACAATTTCATTACTATTTTAAGTGAAGAAACTAATCACACAAAATAATTTAATTTTAATTGACATTATAAAAGTTTTCATATAACGTAACAACCCAGAATTAATTAAATGTCAAAATTTATTAAAATTCAGAAACAATAGGATTCAGAATAGGATTTAAATCAGTAATTTTTATCTAATGCCATTCAATTTCTCTTTTGATCACATAATTTAAATTGCCAAAAGTATCATGATTTAAAATCCAAGATGTATTAAAATAAATTATCTAACTGAAACAAAATTTTATATATCAAACTAAAAACATAAATATGTTTTATAAATAATAAACTTCAATTTCTTAAATTAATAACAAAATTCTGCTTTATTAAAGTTCATTTACATTAAGTAACATTAATTAATGTATGTGAGCTCCAATAAAACAGATATTTTTTATTAATGTTTTGTTTACCTTTAATAAATTCAAATAGCTGTAACCATTTTTAACATGATTTATTAGATATTCTCAAAGATAGTTTATGAATAAAATATATTAGATGTTTTAGCTTTTTTGAAATATGCTATTATAAGAAAATGAGAGATAAATTTGTAGTTTAGAAAAAATTGAAACTAACTGAGATATGATTCTTAGTTATTCTTCATTTTCATTCACTTATTGAATATTTTAACTGTTTTTTAATTTATAATATATAATCAATGTAATTAACTTATAGATTTTTAAAACTTTATTAGATATTTTCATTTATTTCATTTAATAAAAATTAAATAATTTTCTGAATTTTTATTATTATTGGTGATGTAAATGACATTTATAAAAAAATCTGTATAGCAAAATAATTTTATAATTTGTTTAAACACATATTTATAAACTCCAATTAATTTCGTGCTTATACATACTTGTTCTCGTACACATGTATTAGGAGATGTTACTTGACGAACCAATTCTTGAATAACTTCATGAAGTGATTTTGTTTGTGCATCAATAAGTTCTTTATTTGTTCCATCAGGAATAATAGGTGTCCCACAAAGTGTAAGCATTTTTTCAAGATTAGATCTAATTCAATACATAAATAAAATCTAAATTATTCTAGCAAAGATTAAATATCATGTATACTTAACTAATATTTGTAAAAATTTAATACTAATAAAATGCTAAAATAATCGTATGCAATATTAAAATTTTACTTATCAAAATTAAAACTTCAAAGTATTAAATAACTTGCAATACATATATGTTACCATAAAAACACAATCTTTTAATAATTTTACAGAAATATCTTCATTACTTAAATATAAATTATACATAATATAGTAGAATTGAAATTTATAGACAATCAATAGTAAATAGAACTAGATTAGATTATAAATATAATATATTTAAAGTCAAGTATGTCATTATACTAATGGAATATTCAAAATTTGAAGTTTAGAATGTTTGGTTGTAATAATAGAATAATGTTGTTCAGAATTAGAATCTTATGAATGTATATTACTGATAATGGATTACTATTCTCACAAATATTTCAATTAAAACTTTTTGATTTCTTGAAGAAAGTTTGAAATGTGTAATTGAAATGTTACATTAAATTATAATATTGTTTTATTTCTTTATTTAGAAGAAAATGAAATTTTGTTATTGAAAATGTTACAAAATTAGAAATTCACCAAGGTTAATGAAATTGCAAATTATTACAGTAGAGCGTCGTTTATCCGAAACGTCAGTTATCTGAAAGAATTCCAGTTGGCAAATTTAAATTTTTGCTAGTGCTGTGGTGCTGCAATCTTTGGCTATATCTTGGGCTACCCCAATATTTTTTTTGTTGATGTGTGTGTTTTAGCTGGCAGCACTAGCACTTTTGTGTGGTGTTTTTCTGAGGACTGTGTCATGCTGAATCGAATGTTTTTGATACTAGATTAACTTCTAAAGTATAATTTCTTTTTGTTTTTATATTTTTCAATATATTTATTTTGTTTGTAAAAAATAAAGAAATAATTTTTAACGATACAATAGCCACGATTATTATTTTAAAAAGTTTACGTTAGGCTTAACATCGACGAAAATTCAACGCGAAGTGACACGCAACAGAGAAAAATTTCAACATGGGATAGGTTAATATATTTTTTTGTACATAATCAGTTATCTGAAAAATAAGTTATCCGAACAACTTCAGTCCCCAATTGATTCGGATAAACGACGCTCTACTGTATATATAAAAACAATATTATGTAAAAATGGAGGTTTAATTCTCTAGACTAGTAATCATCTTTACCACACAAAGTATCATTTTTAGCTGAAAATAAAAACATGAGAATGAAGCATGCAACATGTAATATGTATTAGAAATTTATAAAATAAATACATAATAATTGTTTAAAAATAAATACATTGGTACTGACAGATTAATAGCTTCATTTTACAAATTTCTAAACAACTGAAATATGAAAATAAAATATTACTCACTTTGCCATATCTACTGCACCACTCGATACTTCTCCTGTTAAATCCATCATGACAAATAATAAAGCTCTCAAAAATAAGTACTGATGAGCAAATACCCATTTTAATGTCATCCGTTCGAATAAGAATTTCAATGAAATACATCTGAAATTTTAAAATGTCACAAACTTTAACAATGTTAGTTAGAACATAAACAAATGTTTATGAAATTAAACAGATTTATTTACATATTTAACTACAAACTTTGAGTATTTTTTAAAATATTATGATTCTTTATTTTAATTTCTAATAAAATTATTTAACCAAACAACAATTTTTCAGAAAATTGATTTAAAAAAAATATTAAATTATAATTCTATTATAAGCCCATTTCAGTCAGCATCTGAATTCATTTTTTATCTTCTTTCACTATAATTAATAATATAAATTAATTGATATAATTAATGTAAATATAATGTATGTGTATCAATGTAAATTAATCAATAATTTAAAAATGCAAAACGTCATTATAACTTACATTATCTAGCAAACATTTACTTATTTTATATTTGCCATTTGAAAGCTATCTTAAGTCATGCCTTGAAAATTTTGTTTAAACCAAACCTGATTTTGATATGCAGTATATAAAAATAGTTTTCTTAACAGAACTATAAATGCAATTATTATTTACTATAAAATGTCTCATTTTAAATTTTATTTATGCATTATTTTATATATAAAACATTTTTATATCATAAAACAAGAAAAATTATCAATCACAAATTCAATGATAATATACAGTATATACAAAAAATGATACATTTATAATAGTTTTCATGATGATAATCACCAATCAATGTCAAAAAGATTAAAATGAATTATCAAATTTAGAAACTAAAAATTTGAATAATGGGTATTATAGAATTATAGATATACGTTTATGTGCATAAATATAAAGTAAAATCATGTTTTAATGGATCACTCAGGCCACCAAAAATCATCTGTTGTTCTGAGAATCTGTTATATTGAGAACATCAGATATTCTGCACACCCAGGAAAATATGTTATTCGAAAAATATTTTTGTTATTTTAATCCCCTATAAATAAGAAATGCCCACCAGTGGCTGAGTGGTCTTAGTACCCTGAACACTGGGAGTTTGGTCGTGGGTTTGCGCCGCGATCGGACAGGCTGGCTGCTTGGAGTTTTCCAGGTTTTCTCCTTGCCGATAATGACTAAATAGGAGGCCAGTTCCCCATAAAAGTCCTCCCGGAAGGCATTCTTTCCCCTCGCGTAACATCGTGCCCCAGAGCAGGCAACGGGAAACCACTCTGGGTAGTAACTTTCCCTAGTAACACCTTGGCGCGTTACTAACTACTTACTAACCCACGCCAGGTGTCACCGACGTCAGGAATCTGATATGGCACCAAGAAGAAGAAATAAGAAATACCAGTGTTTGAAATTATTCAGTGTCTTGAGATCTGTTCTTTATTCTATAGAAACATATAAGTTAAATGATGTGTTTACAACAAAGTTAAGGGAAACTGTATATACTGTAGGCAGAAAGAGAGACAAATTATGTATGTTCATTAGCACTTTACTTGATTTCATGATTTGTTAAAAAACTGATCCACCTTGGTTTGTTGTGATGCCACTCTTCTGCTTATTGAATACAACAACTGCTTGATATTAGCAATGTCATGTACAGTACAACCTATTCATTTATGCTGAAACTCTTCAGGAAGGTCTTCATGACTTGGAAAGACTATGGCCTCACTAAATTTTGACACTACAATTGAACAGAGTCAAAATGTCCACTAGGTGGCTCTTCCTCAATCATATCAGACTGCTGACTTTCTTCATACAATTCTTCAATTGTACATATCCCAGATGTAAAAAGTGCATCATTGACCTCCACAAATTCCCAGAAACACCCAAATATTAACTAAATAATTAAAAAATGTAAAGTGTAGATGACACTAGAAAAATACATTATTCTGAGAAATCCATTGTTCTGCAATCCATCTAAATAAGATTCTACTGTATATATAAATTATAACAACTATAACTAATAATTCTTATAAGCTATTAATTATAGTTGTAGCTTTTATAGTGGGCAACCATTTACCTTTAATTTAAGCAATTTAATTTTTATTTATGGTTAAAAAATCATATTCATTGAAGTTAAATATACAAGTTCTCTCTCATCTATTAAAAAAACTATTTGAAATTTGACTTTATAAGTTATACTAGAGTTAACTGGAGTTATACAAAGTGTACTGCTTCTTTCATTTGGTTACTCCTCCAGTTTTGTCAAATTATTTTGAAGTTATAATCTGAAATATGTAGAATTATATTTTTTCATGGGAAATAATTTTTAAATCTTAAATAAACAGTAAAATGTTTTAATGGAGCCAAAATTTTAAAATATATAGATATTAAATATCATTCAAGTGCTTTTCAAGTCAAACAATTCAGTCACAGGAAGGTTTCAAAAATAAATACCATAATTATACAGCAGAAATCTCCAAACTTTTCAAGAGAATAGCCACATTACTAATTATGACAGCAGCAGCGGGCCAGAGTGATTTAATATCACATAACCACATATATAGGTAAATAAAATAATAATAATAATCATTGAACTTTACTAAAATTAAGAAAATACAGTAAACACAAATAAAATACATTACAAATATCATTTATTTTGAGAAGTACAGATAAGATACTTTTTCTCTTTAATAAATAATAAAGAACATAGAATAATAAAAATTGCCAAGCTTTAAATTTTACAAGAAAATGGGACCTCTGCTTTTAAGTAAATATGTCCCTATTTCTTACTCTCCATAGCTTGAGTTTGAATCATTTAATGCAAGAAAAATTTTTTTAGATCACAGTTTCTTTTAATTGTCTAGAAGCAACACAAGCTGAATAAAACCTCGTCACNAGAAATAAATAACACAAAATAAATTGTAGCTATGTGTGGATTCCGCACGACACATCCGAACATGTAAGCTGGACAATAGTGTGGGGGGAGTGAGTAATCAAGGGTTGCGTGGTGCTCAAACAAAAGACGAATCGACGAGATTTGAAAATCGCGTAACTCCGGGTTCGCGTAAGTCGGGGTAGTGTAAGTCAGGGTATTACTGTATGAATTAATGATAACAATATTATAAGATATAAAGTTATTATAAATATAGTAAATATAAATAAAGTATAATAACTTCTATACACTGTGATACACATTTTCAAAGTAATATAAAAAAATTTACTAGTTTAAAAAATAAAGTACAGGATTTATGATTTATGTATTTTCAAAATATCAACAATAATTTCTGACTAATGCAAATCTTGCCATTTAAATTCAAATGTGTGTAGTTTTATTGCTTAATTTATTCACAATAGACTATAAAAAATATTAAAATATCTATACACGTGTTCACAAAAATTTTCATTTAAGTTATGATTTAGTATATAACATTAAAATTCATTTTAAAAAATTTTCACAAGAAGAAAAATTATCTATGAAAATTTAAGCCACACTTTCAATAAAGTTAAAAATTTATTCAACAGCAATTAATAACAGATTGAGTTAAAATATGAAAATTTCAAGACTTACAAGACTCATTCTAAATCTATTATCAATTACAAATCATTTAGCTACAATATTCTAATAGTAGTAAACAAGAAATTTATTATACTTGTAAAAATTATATTCATAATTAAAACAAATCTTTGTTTTAAATATTTTTAACATAACAACATTTGGATAAAATAATATGATGAGCAATTATCAATAATTATTTGAAAATTTCTCACCATATTATTTTGTTCATTTGCATTTTCAAACACAAGTTGTAATATGCATATCTGAATTTTTATTATATAAATTAAAAACATAATGTAGTAAACAGAATCTAATAAATAGATAAATTAAATAATAAATTTAAATAATAAAAAAAATTTAAAAAGAAAACTGTATTTATTTAAAAATACAGTTTTATTTTTTAATTTTATGAAATTATGAAATGGATCACTTAGTCATTTAGATAAAAAAAAAACCCCATTACCTAGGATGAGAAAATAATTGCTGCATGTTATGTCTGTTATCATCTTGTTGTATATTGGCAACAAGAAATCCTTTTATAACTTCCCAACATTGTTTCCTATAAAATGGATCTGTTGTACTTGATTTCAAAGCATTAAATGCTGTTTCAACAATCTGTAAAAACAATTCCAAATATACTTAATTGTAAAACTATATCAAATTGTATAAAATTTGTGTAAATTTATAAATTATAATAATTGTAATTAATTGCCAAACCTTATCAACAGGTAATGCAATAGGATTTTTCTGTTCTTGAAAATAAACAGTTATGCATGGTCCAACACTTTCACTATCATTATATTCCAGCTGAAATTAAAAAATAAAATATAATTCTAATGCATAATACGTAATAAACAATAAAATAAAAATAAGTTAAATTATAATTTAATGTAATAAGTGTTCCTCATCAAATGTTCAGTAATATAGTCGAAGTTTATCAACAAAATCAACATTCACAATGACTGATGCACAAATTGATTTTCCAGACATGTATTAAATGTCCACCTTGAGGTCTTATCACATCACATGTTCAAACAAATTCTAATTCATAGAATTGACTATTAATGAACAATTCCAGATAATCTGCTACTTTTCAAATGCTAAACTAGTGAACATTCCAGATTATTAGAAGTCAGAAGAACAAGGTTGGAAAACAGAACATATTTGTAAATGAATGAACAAATTTAAATTATAAAGTTTTGAAAGAATATAAAAAGTTAATTATAATGATAACAATTAAAATTATGAAATATTATAGAGGGAGGAAAAAATTGTTTTCATATATCAAATGATATATTACCAATGTAGATGTTACAAGGATTTTGTATAAGAATTTCTAAGAATTCTCTAATAAAAATTAGAGTTTTCCTGTGATAAGAGGCAATTTGTTAAATATGATCATCATCTGGAGAATAGCTTTCTGTTACCATTAGCTTAGCTAATTCTGTTGTAATCCTGTTGTTTAATTCTTTCTTGTAATGTCCAAGCTATAGCATCAATGCAAACAGTTGTATTTGTACTAGAACTTATGAGAATTTAGGGTATACAAAAGCTTTCTCTCATTTTAAGTAGTATAACAATGATATAGAGATATCTAAGCCAAGTTTTTTGGCATAATTTTTAGGGTATACAAATGAATTTCTCTCATTTTAAGTAGTATAACAATGATATAGAGATATCTAAGCCAAGTTTTTTGGCATAATTTTTAATTTTATTTGAACAGTTACCAAATACAGATAAAATATAAGAATATAAATTAACTTTTTGAAATTGAGTGAGAAGAGTGAATTATGAAAGATGTTGTTCAGTTATCTTCACATTCTTGTGAATATAACTGAACTTACTTAAAGAATATTTTCTCTATATGGAAGATAGGAGGGCATCTTCCAATATAAATGTTTGTCTCAGTTTGCACTATTTCTATTTACACAAAACTTATTTTGAATCCAATCTATTATGTAATTTCAGGGTTAGCAATACACACATTCTCTTTCAATATCCAAGTATTTTACCAATGTATTCATTGATAAAATACATGGATAGTGTAAACTTATTTTTTATCCAGGTGAATATTTAATAATTTTATACATATTAGAAATTTTATTACAGTGGTGCCTCGTATAACGTACTTAATCCATTCCAGGTGCACGTCCGTTAAGTGAAACGTCCGTTATACGAAACGCATTTTCCCATAGAAATACATGTTAAAACATATAATTCGTTCCGCAGCATAAAATAGCCATACTGTACCATAAAAAAAAAAAATAGAGTAGTCACCAATTATGCCGGGTAGTCAGATGTTGTGGGGGGGTGGAGGAACACTTTCTTCACACATTCATACAGATACAGACTTTTTACACATTGCAGCAGGTCTCTTTTTATTGTTTTTTAATCGCAGTCAGATTCAGGAGAGGCTACCGGAGTTTGCAAGGTCAACTCCTCTTGTTCCATCCTTTGTTTTTTGGCAGCTTGCTTCTTGAAAAACATGTCCAAAGTGGTCAACTCCTCTTGTTCCATCCTTTGTTTTTTGGCAGCTTGCTTCTTGAAAAACATGTCCAATGTGGTCTGTTTCTCTCTATTCTTCAACACCTGTCAGAAATGACGGACAAGGGTATCATTGTAACATTGATCCTGTTGGCCTTAGCTCTGTTTAGATAATGAGTGTTGGTAAATTCCTGAACCTCTCCCCATTTGACAAGAAAGTTTTTGTCAACTTTCACTCCTGATGATTTCTTGCTTTATTAAAATTGAAATCACCTTTGTTTTTTTAGAAGCTATGATTTGCATAACACTTGAATAAATGTAAATAACCTACATGGAGGTGATGTACTGTATGTAATAAACAAGGGAGCAAGCCAAATCCCAACAGGAGCTCTATACTTCAAATATACTAATAATATATTCTATAATACTAATATATTATAAAAATAGCAGATTGTTATTGGCAACGGTAAAAGAGTGGAAACATCATTAGCACTTGTTCGCAGCCAGTCCTTTGCTCGAGTCACGTAACGGCCAAACAGAAAGTCCATTGTTCGCAGTGTCCGTTATTTGAGGCATACGTTATACGAGGCACCACTGTATATCATTTCAATATGTCAAATTATTTATCTTAATAAAATTTTATTAATACTATATTAAATATTTTTATGATACCTTCTGTGGCTCCATCATCATTTTTCTATTTCCTCCTCCAAACTTTCCAAGAACCCTAAATGCTACCTGTGCAATTCCATCTACTGGGTTTCGTAATGTTCTCCACAATGCTTGCATCAACTCTGCTCTAACAGGCTGAATATGATCATATAAAAAGTCAGGCTGCAAATTATCTACACATAACTCCAATGTCCTCAATCCCTGAAATGATATTAAAAATATCATCAATAATATAATACAAATAAGTTGTGAATTAATATTTTTAAATATCCAATGATTTCTATTGAATACTATTCCGAAATATACAATTACCGTATTTTACGGACTATAAGACGCACCTTAATTTTTAAGCAATATTTTTAAAAAATAACATTTTTACCACCTAAATTCAATCCTTTTATACAGATTGAAGCAAACGCTGATCCACCAATCAATGCTTAGTAGTGCTATCAGACATCCACTGATCGTACAATGGTTGCACAATGATTGCTGGCCAATCTGTGGTTATGAATTCAGAATCACCAGTCGTCTCGTGATCAGAGTTTCTATGGCGACAACTGTTGCTCGTTTGAAAAGAGAAAAAGTGCAGGAATCGTATGTCCAGACGATTCTATCCCAACATCCCACAACTCATGTTTGTCGCATCAATGCACTGCTGCTGCCAGTTGAATTCAATGTTGCCAGAATATTTGATGCTGCAGGTTTCCTGCAGCATCAAATATATGGCCATTTTTAAGATGCGGGAATTTTAAATCAAACATTGGACATTTTTATATTAATTTTGAGTATAAGATACACCTGAATTTTGGAGGCAATTTTTCGAAGAAAAGAGTGCGTCTTATAGTCCATAAAATATGGTATATATTTAGATATCCTAGTTTAAATGTACTATCAGTACAAAAATTTATATTCAGATTATATGTATACATGATCATAATATAATAAATGCTGATAATAAATGTTAACCAAATAGTATTACTGTGATCAAGAAGTATTGAAAATGATTCATTTAAACTTCACACATGCAAGAAAATGCTGTCTTCATTTTTTTCATCAATTGGTTAGACTTTCATTGACATCTAGTAGTGATCTGTATATTATCATCTGCTTTCATTTGCAAATAAACACTTGTTTTGTGTGTACAGAACTTTTGTGATTTTTCAAAATGTCGAGTGTAATTGAGCAAAGAATATGTATTAAATTTTGTTTTCTCAACACAATTACTGCTACAGAAATGCTGGAAATGTTGCAAAAAGCCTTTGGTGACAATGGTCTATCAAAAACAAGAGTTTTCAAGTGGTATAAGGAAAGCATCAAAGATAAATCAGGCTCTGGTAGACTAATCCACTTCAACTAATAAACAATGTCCCAAGTCAGAGATTTGGTGCTCAATGATTGTCATTTAACAATTAGGAACATTACTAAACATGTTCCACTATCATTTGGGTCTTGTCAAGCATTTTAAAAGATCATTTGAGTTTGAGGTGCATTGTTTCTCAAGTTGTCCAGAAAACATTGAATTTTTTTTCCAAAAACAATGTGTTCAAGGTCATGCTGACTGTTTTCTTTGATTGTTGTGATGTAGTGCATCACAGATTCCTTCTGTTTGTCCAAACTGTCAACATAGAATATTATTTGAGCATTTTGCATCATTTGCATAAAGAAATTCATAGAAAATGAGTTAATTTGTGGCAAGAAAACTCGTGAATTTTGCACCACAATAATGCATCTGTTCACAATGCAACAAGAACATGGTGAACACGTGCATTATGTGTTCATGAATTTTTGGCCAAAAATTCAACAAATATGGTTCTTTAAGCTCCACATTTACCTGTTATGTCACCATGTAACTTTTTCCTGTTTCCTCAACTAAAATTTTCACTTTATGGACACTGTTTTCAGTCGAATGATGCCATAAAACAAAAATTGCTGCAAGTCCTGAAGGGATTTCACAAAAACTATTTTGATAATTGTTTCAAGGATTGGAAAAAATATTGGCATAAGTGCATTGCAGTGGAAGGGGATTGCTTTGAAGAGAACAAAATAAATTTTGATGAATAAATACAAATCTTGTGTTTTACTAAACCATTCACAATACTTTTTAATCACCGGGGTATATTTTCAAAAACATTCTTGGCATATTTATATTATATACTTAAATACAAACAATTTTTGATTTCAATGATGCAATTATATTATAAAAATATTTTAGAAAGTTTATAAACCTAAAATTAGAATAATAGTCTTAACCTGTCCCGTGTTGTTCCTGAATATTTTCATGTTGACCTCATTTGACTTAACCTGTTGACCCCAAATATACTCATTTCTGCATCGGAGTGTTTTTGATACTAGATGTAACTATGCTTTATAATTTTTATATTAAAACAAGCTTTCAGAATATATATATTTTTTTGTTTTTATATTTTTCAATATATTTATTTTGTTTGTGCAAAATAAAAAATAATTTTGGACGATACAATAGTCACGATTATTTTTTTCTAAAACATGGAATTTTTGTTAGGCTTAACATCGACAAACATTCAATGTGGAGTGACACGCAACAGGAAAAATTTTAACATGGGATAACATTTTAACCATTTTAACATTTTAACCATTGCAATTGTGTCCTGTTCACAACTGNATAAAAATAACTATATTTCTAAAAATTTTTAAAAAGTTAAAATGTAAAATACTAATTGAGTATTTTAGCTCAGAGAATGTACTCTATATTTTAACTTTTTCAAAACTTTTAGAAATATAGTTATTTTTATTCATTTTAGTCTTAAATAAAAGTTGCCAGGACAAATATGACATTTACAGATTTAATTTAATGTAATTATTATTAATTTTAATTTTGCAGTGCTACCACTAGAGGACTTTTGTAACTATTTTACATTTTTTTGGCGAATGGTAGCCTACAATACAAAGAAAGGTCGCCTTCTCAATGGAATTGTTATTGCCTCGTATAGTATGTGAAGGGACAAAAAATGGACTAAGACTCATCTATGTATGTATAGTCAAAAAGAAATATATTTTTCTGTAAATTATTTAAGACTTTTCTTCAATCTCTAAAACTGAACTTCATTGTGCTTTATTGGAATACTTAATATCATAAATAAAGCAAAACAAATGATGTGTCTATTATTTTTGAGCTTTTCAGCTCAATCTTCAAAACTGTAAACATAAAAGAATTTTTTATTCAATATGAAACATTATTTTACAGATATATCTCCAAAGAAGTTAAATACAATCCAATAATATTCCATATAACAATATTGCATATTGTAAAATACCTATCTAGCTAAATTTATAAATATATTATTGCAGATAAATATACAGGTATCTGTGAGCTCACGGATTTTTACGGGCTTTTTAAAAAACTAAATTTTCTGTTAATTATCTTCAGAAAAACCCAAAGAATTTGAACTAGATCGGATTTCATTGATTGTAATAACAACTAACTGGGAAAGTTTACACTTAAGTGTAAACTTTCCCAATCACCGTCATCGTCAACAACAGTTGATGACGTGTCAGCTCTCTCGCGACAAGGATATAAAAAGGGAGACCACTGGAAGCTCGGGAGTTCACTCACAGAGGTTATATTGGGTCATAGTAATTTCACATCTCCCACATCTACCGATGTTGGAGATGTGAAATCACTATGACCAAGCCCAAGCCCAACTCTGGTATAAAGAACTGTTGTCACCACATATAGTACTTGGAGGTAATTATTCTGAACCAGCGAACTCTCTCTATGCATATAGGAATAGTTGTTAGAGAAAACCCTTTAGAGACAGGATAGATTGTATAATTGCCATAAGCGTACTTATGTTATCCGCATTTATTCTTAGATGTAGCCACCCTATTGTATTGCTTAGTTAGTTATATAATAAATGCTTGTTTAGTTTTAAACCTGTCTTCTGTCAATTAAGGATGCCTGCCGACTTGCTCACCTCCCTCGCCACTTGATAAAAAGCCATCCTAAGACTGAGATCGGGTTTTATCAATCTGTTGCAGAGTAAGTGGTCATTTCGGACTTGACCCTGTCGCCCACAGCTAATCTCACATACCCCTTGTACAACACGGTACTTCTACAACATGGTTTCACTCTAACACAGTTTGAAAATTGGGGATATCTCCAATACAATATGACTTCTGGTTTTGGAAATTTCACAAGTTATAAGTGTAAACTTCATTATTCGAATTTTTTTTATTCAAGTGAGCATTCATGTCATCTGAAATTTGCCCATGGATTTTAGAATATTGAAATTTTCAAATTATTTTGTGCTTTTCTTCAGGTTTACTTTAATGAAAACTGTAGGACAAGGAAGAAAAAAATTGCACTAACTTTCTTATCAACCAGGTGTCTTTGTCATTTCTTCCAGACTTTAGCCCTTAAGTGTGTTTAGCCCGTAAGTGTGTTTTCTTTTTATAGATTAATCTTCATATTTAGTAAAGTTTATTAAACTTCTTTTAACTGTAGGTATTACTTACCTATGAATGATTACTTCATTTGTAAAAATGATGAACAAAATATGGCAGTATCTTGGTACTCAAAAAATTCAGTATCCAAACACAAATTCTGAAAAAAGTTGCCCAGTACTTGACCGAACAAATGCAACCCACTAAAACAAATTTTCAATTGATAACATATTTTTATTTTGTCATCCATAAAATTTTTTATGATAAAAATAAAAAAATATGAAAATGTTGCTGATACTTCTGATCAAGATCAACAAAAAAGCTGAGATGATGACAATACTTTGTAGAAAGAAAATGCCCTCATTTAACTAAAATTAATATTAACACATAATACAATACTTTTAATTGTGATTGTTAATTAATTACTGACTGGAAATAAATTATCAATTTCATTAATAAACATATTTCTCTCAGTAATGAAAAAAATAGTATACTTTTGCTAACTTCTGAAACATTACCCTATGTTTTGCATTAGTCCTTGTTTCCTATAGCATGGATTTGCATAACAAAGCACACTTTCAGAACATAACTACCATGTTATATGAGGGATATCTGTATATTGTTTATGTTCTTACAGAATCTATACAAGAATTCCTATGATTTACAATAAGTAATCCTATAATTTATGTTTCTATGAAAGATATTTTAAATATTTTTTATTTACTGTAAAATATATGGTACAAATAAACCAATTGTTGTTCGGAAAGTAAGTTCGTTTTTTTTCCGTGGAAAAAAATGCAATATTCTTATGATAAATAAATTTTTTATTGAATTATATGTTGACCATTTTGGTCAAATACCTGTTGTCATCGTTTCTGGTAGTAGCACGATTTCACATTCATAAAAGTTTTGATCATTGCTTACAAAAAACCGATCCAAGTGATTTTTGACATTGTCATTTCAAGTAAATGTCTTACAGTTAAAAAAAATTGTACAGACCGGAACAAGTAATAATCTGAGTATGCTCGATCTGGCGAATATGGTTGGTGTGATAGCACGTCCCATCTAAGTTATAACAGTTTCTGACGAGTTACCAAACTTATGTGAAATTTGACATTATTGTGGTAAAACACTACAGCTGTTTTTTTTAATCAATTCTGGCTGGCTTTTTCTGTTTGATGATATTACAGCAATTTGTTTACTTGAATGCAGTACACTTTCGAATCAATTGTTAAATTGTCTCTCCAAAAAAAATTTCCTTAATATCCCACCAAATAGAGCATTTCTCTTTAAGAACTCGTGGAATTCATATATTGAGCTTTGAAACAAAACCAATTTGTTTCAAGTACTCATAAACAGTTCAATTTGACAAATTTAATCTCTTAGTGATTTCACGTGTTGTTATTCTGCAGTTTGCTTCAATCGGTACTTTTATTTTGTTTTCATTGGCTTCAATTGGCCATCCATAACGTGGTGCATCTTCAATACTGAAATTGCGAGAACGAAATTTTGTAAACCAGTTTTGGCACTGTCATTCTGTCAACACATCTCCACCATACATGTCACACGATTTTTTTCTTGCTTGAATGGCATTTTTATTTTTTTGGTAATAAAAAAGCAAAATATGCCGAATATGCTGCTTTCGATCTTCCATATTTGATGGGACACAAAAAATAAACAATTGCAAGAAATCAAACAAAATTTTTTACAAATAAGCCATAAAATGCTAGCTGTCAAAATATATAATGATAATACGGCTTAGAACAAAAATGGCGGGAAAAATACCACTAATCTATCTAGTGGTAAAAAAAATGAACTTACTTTCCAAACAACCCAATATTATAATTAGCATTTCAAAATTACATATTATTTACATTAAAATTTCCTCTCACTCTCCTAGATGTGATACTGAATTAATTAACATATTAACTGTTATCACCTACCTGGCTAACCAGAGTCTGTGATCCATTCAGAGCTGAAACTAAAGGATCCATAAGCATTGGCAAATACGGCAACAGAGAACTAAGTCTTACAGGAACAGTCAAACATAATTCTACAAATAAATCTTTCATGTGTTGCTTATGCAAACCACTCTGTAAACTATTTAATCCTATAAAAAAAAGACCATCAATGTGAATTAATCCATTCCCAAACCTTAAACAGTTTGATAAACTTTAAGTGTATTTGCTGTTTTAAGTAAAAATAACACAATTAAATGCCCTAATAATAAATTAAAACATGAGAACAATACATAAAATATGCGAATATGGTATAATAAAATAAAAACTCATTTATTGGTTGCAAACCATTGACTTTGGTATCTTAAATATGGCTGCCATTCCATCCCACATATTTTCCTGCTTTGTGATTAGTTCTCTTTCACTTCAGTCATCAGTATTACAACCTTCATCTTAAGCTTTGTTGCTACCACATATTTCTGGAATGCCATGATTAACAAGTAAAAGTTATATTGAATTGAACATAAAATTTTCTCCTATTTTTAACAGTAATAGTTGTGATTTAATTATAACAGTTGTGAAATTTAATACACATTCCTAATGTGAGATTGTATTCTTTGTTTAGAAGCTTTTTTTAAACCTTTTAGTTCACATTTTGTTTGAATAAAATCAAGTTGAAATAACCAGATAAAAAGCATATCAGGTATATTAAGCTTTATGTGTTTGAAAAAGGATATAAATCTGTATGAATAGTAAAAAATATATATTGTATAAGAGGAAGATGTTCCTAAACTTTGAACATGTCAAATGTGGTTTAAAAAGTTCCATTCGGAAAATTTTGAACTACAGGATACAAAATGTATGAGGTGTCACTATATATAATTCTATGAATTAAATTTAATTTGTGATCAATTTAGAAATTTTTCGGAATTGAAATTTAATCTATCAAGAAATCAATCTGTATAATAAGAAAACCATATGATTACAAAAGATAAAGAAATTTTTTACTATTAAAAATTTAAATAATTATTTTCTGAAAGAATAAGACATTTGAAAAACACAGAAGTTATTTTAAAATTCATTAGATTTGCATGACAGAGAATACAGTTAAGAGAAAGTAACTGGATTTATTATTATTATTTTGTTACTTTAGCAAATTTATTAGTTATAATCTACATATTTTATTGTTAAATACATCTTAATAAAAATATTGTAAGATATCATTCTTTTTGCAATAGAAGAACATGTATATTTTAGAATTATAGATATCAACATTAAATTTTCTTTAGATGTATGTTATACTGTAAAAATTGAGATATGAAAGATCTTTTTAATTTTTCTAAAAAAGCCCTCTTGGCTTAATTAATTCTTATTTAAATACTTCTGGCCAACAAAATATTGCTTAAGCTAACAACTCTTCATAAAAACACTAAACCATTACAGATAAATTGCAACTATAATAAAATCTTTGCTTAGAAAATACATCAAATAGCTTATCCATCAGATTTTCATGCAAATTATACATTTGGACAAAGATAAAATCATAGATAAAGACAAAGTTGGCACTTATTTAGTGAAGCCAATTAAAAATCAGAATAGCTTTTATTATATTGAATCTGTTTTTAGATTTTTGGACAAAAAACTGAAAGATCATTTATACCAAATGTCCAAAGTTGACTCACAAAAATATATTGTTTATTACAATGACCTTGGATGTTAACACCATTGTTCTTTAAGATAAACTAATATTAGTTCTGAATCAAATAATTATTTACATCTTAGATTTCTACAAAGTACAGTACATTTTAAATAAACATTTGAATGTTATTAAATCAGCACAATTCTTACACCATAAACTGTACTTAGACTTACTTATTGTTATTACTTATGAAATTACTTATTAGATTCATTCAGTTCCTCTTCTATGTAACAAGCTAATTAATAAATTTTAAATATTTACTAAATCTTCAATTTCTAATTTTTTGTTAGTTATTTACTTTTCTTACCATTCTAATTACATACTTTCATTACATAACTGAAAATAAAACAGGATTGCTAAAAGTATATCATTAATTTAAAATGTTTTCTATTTTTATATCCATTTTATAAATTTTAAAATGCATTCTAATTTCATTATTTTGCATTTGATTTATAAGTAAACTAAGAATGGTCTGAACTGAGGCCAAAAATATTTTGTATTAAAAAGTTTTGCTATCCTTAGGTTAAACAATTCTGGTTTACTGAATAAACCAACAAAACAACAAAATAGGTATTCAGAAGAGACTCATAATAGGATTAACTCATCTCCTTATCAATCATCAGAGGGGAATCACAATATATAAAATTTTAAGGCAATAAAGAGCACTGAAGTAATTAAGAAAATAAAGCTGGTAAAAAGATCTATTATTAGTGATTACATAATCACTGAAAGAATTTTCATACATTATATTGATGATGATTAACCAATTATTAGTTTGAAAAAATCAGACCAATGATTTAGTAATTTCTTCATAATTACAGAAATAAAAGAACAAATTAAAAAAACCTTAGATATTTAGATATTTTCCATTATTTTTTTGCTGTAATTTTGACATTACTATCAGTATCTACAAAAGTACTTGCAAATTATGTTAATTTTATCAATTATATTATTATGTTGGGTTTTTTGAGTTATACTCGGTTCACACCGGTGGCTGTGTACTATGCCGGACCAAAGTCAAGGCATACCAACCAAAACAAAACTAAAATTAAAGAAGTGTGTCAGTGTGTGTGTGTGTATTCAGGAATTTCCTAACAATGTGGCATGTATTCAATATAGTGGCCTTCTGTAGTGTGATGTATGTATTTCTACTCAATTGTAATGTTCCCAGGCTTTTGTGTAGTGTGTGTGGTATCACACCTGTACAGGAGGAGAGAATAACAGGTACAATAAGCACCCTATCCATCCTCCACAGATGCCTTATTTCCTGGGCGAGTTCTGTGTACTTNTCTTAAACATTATTAGTGTTCATAAAATTTAAATAATTTTTAAATTACTTGAATTAAAATAAAAATTTGCATAATTTTGTGTAGTTAACACTGACATAGTACTCACATTGGCATTTGTCTCACAAAAAACTGTTAGAATGGAAATAATAATATTTACATAACACACACCTCCAAAGTGTCCAGTAAAAACACAACATTTAGCAAACTGCAGTTTAAAATACAAGTTTATCATCACTAATCCATTATCACTGGGATCTGTAGATGCCAGACAAGTGATTTTGCAAAATTACTGATGGTTAAGAAAGAATATACTTAACCAACAGCTAACCACTTCATCTTAACTGTAAAATAAGCTATAAATCAGTATAAGTTGGCAACATCAAACAGTAGTGGCAGACTCATGGAGTGACCAAGGAAATTTCAAATTGCTCTTGTGGAAATTAGTGCCAGATTATTTATTAAACCAGAGAACTGATTGCCGGATTGGTGATTATCAACTTGTATTCCATTATTTTTTCCATTACTTTTATTTCACTTCCATCAGCAATTCATTATATAGTTAAGTGAGATAGAAAAAATAAAATATTTGAGACAATAAGTATCTTAAATGTTAAACTGAATAAGAGTCAAAAATACAAATGATGCTAATCCACAAAATTTTTTATTGTTTCACTTTGTTTCTATTTTTTTTTAATAAAATAATATTAAAAAAATAAAATTATAATACTAATAAACATTAAATTATCTTGAAAAATACAATAGTAAAAATTTTAAAAACTTAATAATCAGTAAATTTTAATTAATTCTAATTTATTAATTATTAAAATTTCAAATAAATGACAAACCCATTAGTACTAAATACTCAATACTCTACAAATTTAGGTTAAAATTTACCTAATTCCAGTTCAAAAATGTTTTAATATATTTCATAAGCTACCATATAAACCAATATATATGTTACAATAAAAATAAAATAATTCTAATTATATTTTAAAAGTTTACATTTTACAAATCATATTGATTTGTATTTTAAATTGTGAAATTCATAAATTAATATTGTAAGTTCAAAATAGAATATGTAATCTGGAAGAGGGTGAAAACATCACAGAAATGCATTTCAGAGCACTAAGTGTTAATTAAAAAAATGGAAAAGGCGTGTGATTAGTCTAAAATTGTAAAAGCAATGCAAATATGCTTGTATAGTTACTTAAAACCCTTAGTAAATTGTAGACAGAAAGCTTGTAATGCATGTTGAAAGCATAGGTTTAAAAATAAAATATATTTTAATTCTAGAATTAATTTTATGACAGAATAAAAATATCTATTAGACCAGTGGTTCTCAACCTTTTTTGTTGATGTACCCCATTAGCCCATTAGTTGTTTCTCAAGTACCCCTTATATTTTTGTATGTAAATTTTTTAATTACTGCGTTAGATGTATACAGCCCTTATAACTGCGCCATAAAAAACTCTAACTAACTAACTATAACTAAAAGTGAATTACAGTCGACCCCCCCTATAACACTGTTGATTATTTCGTTTTATATGAATTCCATGTTGTACGAGTCACTTAGATTTTACGAATACTGTGTGCCGGGCTGTGAACGGCTCACAGCCTGGCACACAGTATTTGTAAAATCTAAGTGACTCGTACAACATGGAATTCATATAAAACGAAATAATCAACAGTGTTATAGGGGGGGGGTCGACTGTAATTCACTTTTAGTTATAGTTAGTTAGTTAGAGTTTTTTNTAATCAATTATGTTATAGGGGGGTCGACTGTACTTATTTTACGTAAATAATAATAAATTTAATCAGGTACATACATTTATTTATTATTATTTGATAAGTATATTATATAAAATCATAGAAGTCATTTCAATACATGCATAAATTACATTTCCTAAAAATAAATAATTATAATTAACGATAAAGAAAATTTAAATTATTCTACAATAATTTCTAACAAAATTTAATGGGATACTTGTTGCGATAAATCTTCAGCAATTTTTTCAAAATTTGGTTCCCACATTGTTAAATAGAGATTATAATTGTGTACTGACCTCGAAAGGAATGGCTGCAAATTTATAACGTGCGGAACAATACGCGAATCTTTCAATTTTTGTAACAAGCGTAACGTCTAAATTTGGTAAATATCGAGTAATACTCGCGTGCAGTGACACGCATTGCATGGTGGGGGTACGGTCCAGGCCTCATTATTCCTAATACTAGTAGTCCAGTAAAAACACGAAAAGCCCCAATGTTATCGAGCAATAATTATAGAATAGAATAATTTTTTTTTCTATTCTAAAATTAATGCTCGGTTAAACTGTAATGTTACAAGACTACAGGTTCACTCGGCACAAATAGACAGGCAAATCGAGTGGATAAACAAGTTGTTTAGACTGTTTTAAAAGGTAAATCGGTGTTCACACTGGGATATTTTAAAGCAAGTTTTTGTCGTTTCTTGTTTCTTGTGTTAATAATTTACAGCAAATTGATTAACATACGCCATTTTATAATGAAAATTAGATGTACCCCTTCGATTTACGCTCGTACCCCTAGGGGTACATGTACCCCCGGTTGAGAACCACTGTATTAGACTATATAAGTTGTGGCCGAAGTTTCATCTGTAAAATGTGAACATCGAACATTGAGTGTCGCCATCTTGTTAACCTAGAAGTTTGACAATGGCATTTGGAACATCAGTAAAATCATGCTCAATGTTCCAAGCACCATTGTCAAACTTCTAGGCTTACAAGTTGGTGGCACTCAACGTTCAATGTTCACGTTTTAGAGATGAAAACTTCAGTTGCAACCTCTTTATTAACTATCTATAATTCTAAGTATCTGTAGAGCAAATATTAAACATCATTTTAAAAAATTCAAATTAATATATAAATCACTGCTGATTTCAGGAAGTCAATGTTTTATTAATTAAAAGAAATTTTTCAATCAAAATCCTGTGCTTAAAATCTTAGATTTAAACGTTTAGAATAATGTAGCATAGAATATATTCTAGGCTACATTATTCTAAACCAGTGTTTCTCAACGGGGGCGATTTCGCCCCCATGTGGGCGTTTTTCCATGTTGAGGGGGCGATTAGTAACAATTTATATTTTGGGGAGCGAAAAACAATTCTCTGAGCGATATAGTAAAACATTATATTAAGAATAATTAGATATTTTATTCGTTATATCGTACAATAATTAAACAAATAA